TTATTATTATTATTATTATTATTATTATTATTATTATTATTATTATTAACGGTATTATTATTATCATTATCACTATCATTATCATTATTATTATCATTATTATTATTCTGCGATACCGTTGTAGTGTTCTACAAACTGAGCTAACAAGCCAACTGGGAGCTGGTCAATTTGTTAGTTCGTAGTAAACCCGTGAAGAATGAATAAATGACAATGAACATATGAAATTCGTAGATTTGAGCTGCGAATTAATGAATGAAGATGTGTGAGTGATCGATGAATAGCGCGATCTTTGAATAAATAAGACTAACCGCATTTAATTGACTACAGCTCTTCATCTGTTTTACCAAACTTTCGCCTCTTGTCAAGTAAAAACTGAGCTTGAAGCCATTAGAGAATAAGGACTTTTAATCCCCCAAAATCACAAGATTAAAGAACGCACTTAACCGCAAAAGGTGTGGCGTGTCTCAGTTTAGCCAAGGTGAAAGCCCTCATTACTGTACGTGTTCTTAACTTTCGCACTTGTATCACTCAGTAACTGCTTATATATAGTCTAGCCATAGTAGAGAGTGTTTGACCAATAAGTGCTGTTGGAGAGGAAACAGGGTAGCCTATTTATTCTATATCTGAAAATAGATTTAATTGTTCGCAAACTAAATGAAAATTCTTGTTCAAAGATACGGAAATTGGAAAACTTGGGTGCCACGAAAAATCATCACCTTTGTAAATTTGAGAAACTAATGCAAAAATGTCATGGAATGAACTATGCTGAAATATTGCAATTCTGCAATAGTTTTGTCTCTAAATCTAAGAAGTCCAAAATCTTCAAAGAGGTTTTATCACTGCCAATTCTGATGACTTACTAAATAGATTGTCACGTCAGCATCATGTCAAGTTGCTTAGTGACATCCCTGATAAAACCTTCATGCTCAACTCTTTGTGGAGATACCATTTTTTAAAAAAATAAAACACTGTTCTCTTGCTTTAACAAGTGCAGATGTTGGTGTTGGGAAAAACACTGAAACTGAGAAGGGTATAACTGTCAAGAAACCACACAAACAGCTACAGAAATTTGTTTTAATAAAAGATTTGAGAAGTGATAGTTTACATTTCTAAAAGTTGCTTCTGGCCAGGTGAAAAAACCAACCAGACAAGGTTGCCAGATAGGTTGTCACACACTATCTGTACCACAGATAGTGTGTGACAACATCCACATGTACACTTGTGTTATGATTAAATAGTAAAGGTAGAAGCCTACATGTATTTAGAATAAGATGTTTGAATTGTCTGAAATTTTGCCAGTTAGTTACCAAATCAGTACTGTAGTTTTTGAGGAACTCCCAAAATACATAAAACTGTACAATTCCCTCTGTAGGAGTTGTAGTCCTGGTTACCAAAAAGTGAGAGGATGATGATTACAGTGTAAATATCTAGATCTCTTTTATTCCACAAGAGGATCAGCATTTAAATGACCCTAATGAACTTGAATTAGTTACAAAATGCTTACTTTGTAAGGAGAGCAAGGAATGAGTTTTTCTAAACCTAATTTTAAGAATTTTTACGAGCTGCACAGCAACATTAAATATCTTCCCTTTGCCACACAGCCTAAAATTATGTAGCCTTAAATCTGGCATTTGACAGCAAAATGCAAAATTCATTCACAAATCAAATCTCGCACACCAGAGGAAAACAAGAGTTGAGAAAGAGTGGCTGGTTGCAGGTTAACAAGAGTTCAAACTCCTGCTCTAATCTTGCCAGGAACTCTCATGTGCTCTCAGTGAATTTGAACCTGCTCAAATTGTTCTGAGAGCCAATGAGAGTTTCTAGTATTTGGCACAAGTCTACCAGCTACGTAACTGAAATCATGAGGAACAACTTTTTTACATTAACTATCTGGTTGAATGTGTGAAACTACATGTCTAAAGCACTCTTTCCACGTCTAATATTTTGAAAGCAATGCTCTTGATTCCCTTCTTATCAGTTCAACTGCTCCTGAAGGTCTTGAGTTGTTTAAGCTCAGAGAGAATTCAGAGACTTTTATTTGATAAATTACTTCAAACAATGCTGTGGGGACTTTTAAAGTACAAGAAAATGTAAATTGAGTAATATTTCCAATAAATTAAGGCTCTAACTTAACAAGAAATCTTCCTATAATTATGTACACTGTTTGTCAAGGAAGAATAGCTTGAGATCAGAGCAGATGGCTTAGAGGAAATAGTCTGGTTGAGGCTTTTTGGCGATAGTTGGCATTCCTCTCACCTCCTGTGAGCGAAAACAAAACAGAATAACAATACAATCCTATTAGAATGATGGGAACTAAGAAGCATTTAAATAGCTGGTAGGCATCTAAAGGAAGAAACCAATAAGAGAACACATTCCCAAACTACACAATTTTTTTTTTATTTGAAAGTAAGTAATAACTATTGATTTCAAAACAGTTTGACATTCATCATGATTGCATTCCTGTCAACACTGTATACCTGGGTTAGTTTCTAAATTTTAGACTTTGTGATACATTTAAATTGACTGTTTCATAACATATATTTCAGAAAAAGGCATTTTGGCACAGTAAATATTTTGATATTCCCAGTAAATTTATAATGTTGTGTGAATAGTTACCCTTTCAAACTAACCTGAGGGGCTGCTTCAAATATTGTAAATTCTCTTTTTAAATGTTCATCCAACTCTAATATGGCTGCCACATTTCCACATCTTCAAGGAAATTACATCAAAAACAGTTAGCTCAAGAGATCATACTGTAACTTTACTCGGCAGTTGTATTAGAAATTGTATGCAATGCAAATAAAATTAAGCATTTACATGTATACTATCAGTGATATTTGAAAATTCTACCAAAATTGCATGAAAGTATCACTCCTCATGTACATCATTGCAATAATTGCTCAAGCTTAAATATGATTACTAATATGTGACTGAGAAAATAACAAACATCCCTACACTAATTTACGCCAAATCAGCAAACAAATCCGTCCCAAAAATTTTTGATACAGTCTGAATTAGCATTGCGTTACACTACATTAATGCAATAAGTTAGCCTGTTATCATAATCACAATGAAGTAATTTTCTCAATCACATCTTTTAGATATAGGGCACTTTTCCCATGTTTACATAGCCACATCTAAACACAAGGAGAGTTGGAAGAATTCGAGACAGTTAAGCAAACCAGAGATGTAGTCGAGGGTTTGCATAACTTTCTTAAGCAAACCAGAGATGTAGTCGAGGGTTTGCATAACTTTCGAGAATTATCCCAACCTCCCAAGTATTTAGATGAGGCTATGAAACCATGGAAAAAGTGTTCTATTGCTTTTATAAAATAATTTTCAAAAATAAGTGTAAATCTAAAAGGTCACAATCGTGTTTACATTCTCTCATCTAAACATACCTTTCGACATATGAGAGTGCGCGTAGTAGCTCAGTAATTTTATAATGAGCAATAGAGTACTTTTTCCGTATTTATGTACCCTCATCTGAACACAAGTGATGTTGGGAGAATTTATGACAGTAATGCAAACCTGAAATGCAGTCAAGGCTTTTGCATAACTCCCCCCAAGTGTTTAGATGAGGCTATGTAACTACAGAAACAGTACTCTATTGGTTTTATAAAATATTTCTCAAAAAAAACATGCAAATCTAAAACATCACCACCATATTTAAATAATCTCATATAAACACAACTATTGACCAATGAGAGCATGCATAGTATCTCAGTTATTTCATAAAATAATATTGCTAACAGTCTAATGGCTAATGTCTTGTACCTGTAACAGTAGTTTGGTGCTGACCACACCGTAAGAACTGTCTCATTAAAATGCCATTTATATCCTTCCATGACTAGCTGATGAGCTCGGCAGATCAGGTCAATGTCATTTGCTGCATTGAACTAGACAAATGACAGTCAATTAGGAGTTAATGTGCAATTTATTCTTGACATTTCCAATGCAACTAACATATGCTTTGGGAGCAGCAATTTGCCATACAAAGCATTCATAGCTTACTTCATAACAAACTATTTCATTCACCAACTTTTAGTAAGCCACAAGCAATGACATCATTTACACAAAGTCTGTCACAAGTAAATGGCTCTCAGGCAGGTAAAGACATTTTGTCCTGATGGCTCTGTGGCACAGATTGAGCCCAAATCTGCAATACTGAATGATTACTGTCAGTAACAACTAAGTAGCACAATGATACAGAAGGTAGTTCTCTGTTTGCAGTATACCTGAGTGACGACATCACTACCAAAAAGATATCCTGCACCTCTAGGACTCACTCCCCAACCCTGTGTGTCTACAGAAAAAAGGAAGCACTGTATTAAAATTAATACATTCGAGATACATTTTCATTAACCTAGCAGTGCTTGCACATAAGTATTTCTGCAATACGTCATTTGACATTTTTTGAATGATAGGTCCTGTTTGCCTTCCGCAATGTAAGTCTGATAAATGTAAGTTGGAGTTTCCTACAAACATTTATTGCCCTGTCTAGTCTAATCTTCACACTTGGGGTAAAAGTTGGTCACAAAACTATGTACAGTCAATCAATCAGTCAGTCAATCAATCGATAACTTTAAAATTAAACAAAGTGATTAGTATATGCAGACTGTTGTACTTCATCAGTGGTCTGGCAAGACATTTCCTTGATTATCATCTTAACTAGATAAAGTTGGATTCATGACTTGATTTATTATCTGAAGTAAAGGAATACCTTCGGGATCTGACCACAGTAAGTCACACATAGGCCCATCATGAGGAACTTCTTGTTTTCTATCAATTGCTCGAATCTGAAAAACCAGTTTTATTACAATCAATAATGTACAACAAACGAACCTCTGTTCCTTGATGTTAAGTTTGGTGGCTTAAACAAAATATAATGCACACCCAAGTTGCATGGCTCTCCTCTTTCACACTTCCATTGAGTTTCTTCTTGGTCTTATCAAGTTTAGCATTGGTTCATAAGTCATTTACAGTCCTTCTTTATTAGTCCACCCATTTGTGATTTCATCCCTGAGTTCACTTTTTACTGCCTGTGATTTTCAGTTAATGATTTTTTTCTTCCTCCAACAATATTCTCATTAAGTGTCGGCTGCCGGCTAAAAAAACGGCTACTTTGATTTCTGAGCCGCCTACTTTTCTTGAAGTCATACATGTGTAAGTTGTAAAGAGTAATTTAGGCAAAACACAGGGTTTTTGGAACATGACTGAAGCTTGACTGTCCTGCAAGAACATCTGGTCATTGTGAGTTAAATTTGCATATAAATAGACAATTTTCATCACAAATTTATAAGTTTGTATGGCAAAATAATAAGAACTTCATAAAACAATATCAGAGTACACATTGGTCATTGCTTTTACAGGGTGCAGCTTATCTACGAGTGTGGCTTATCCACTGGTATTTACAGCACTCGCCAATTAGACTGCTCAGCTAACTTAAAACCAAAGTAAAACCAAAACCAAAAATTGCCAGGGCTTCTGACACCTGATTGAAAACTGCTCTAATTACCCAACAACACATCGAAAAAGTTTGAGGAAAAAGAGGAAAAAATTCCATAGTCTATACAGCGAAAAAAAAAAAAAGAAACACAAAATAAAACAATTTAAACTCTTACCTGATCTAATGTACTTATTGATGGAGAAAGACCACCATGCACACAAAAAATCTAACAAATAAAAGCAAACTTTCTATGAACAACCTCATTGCATTTTACTAATCTAACAACTTATCAAGGGTAATGTTATCCTTTTTCCACCTGCAAATTGTGTTCAGATTTTTTGAGAGTTTTGCTATAGTAAGATAATGACCAATCACCGCTGAGCTGTTTCCTCTTTTCAACATTTAACTTTTGAGTGATGCCATCATCAAGTCTTTGCAAGCCTAGTGGCACACAACTGCCAGAGCTGAACTCAGTTTCAGTAATGTGAAACAACAAAGAACGCTGCTTCTTTTCCTGAATGGAATGCATAAAAGACTAGGGCTTTAGAATGGCACTAGATGGGTAAAGGAGCCAAATTACAACATAACTCATGATATAAAGTAGCAGTCAACTTACCCTATTATCGATAATAGCTGACAAACTAAGATAGTCAAATATTTCAGTACAGTATCTCCACACTGTTATAGAACCATATTTCTTTAAACATTCATCATAGAACCCATAAACCTGAAGAAAAGAGAACTCTTTTAATCCTAGAAATGTACAGAGTTTAAGAATAAATTCTCTCAATCATTATTTTTAACACAATACAAAAACACATTTCTTTGTATAACAATAAATGATTACAATGGAGGAAAAGCAATATTATTACAAAAACAAATCTATTTCATTCTTTAGTCACATACATATAGAGACTTAACAAATTTTAATGACCACCTGGAATTGTAGATTCTTTTCATATGTCGTCAACAACGATAAAAATAAATTTATAACATACCTGTGTTATCTGTCTACTCTCATGGTTTCCTCTTATTAATGTTATTCTGTCAGGATATCGTACCTTCAAGTTAGAGAAACATGGTCAATAACCACTTGGGCTGTGATGTATGACAAGTCTCGTCAGTTCTCCACATAGTTTAATTTGCACAAGACTCACAAGCATTGGTTTTCTGCAACTTGCTCTAAATGGTAAGCTATTTTTGGATTACATGTTCTCAAAAACTGTTTCTTTCCTGGAAACCATGAAGTTGTTACTTTCAGTCAGTGTTTTGAAACCGTTTTGACACCTCACTAAGAAGTGTTATACTCTTTCACTGCTCAGCTTATTAATGTATCTATAATAAATTATTGCTGTACAGTTTTGAATGTTAATTCTCACATTCACTTATTATGCCCAAGTTAATGATTTCCTTAGTTTTACTCACCTGACTGTTTTAACAATAATTATTATTCTTACTATGATACAGGAAGAAATTCAGGGATGGTACGGTCTCCCTTAAAAATAACTATGGTAATGAAATAAGTGGTCAATGGAAATATCGTTAAAGATGCATGACACTTAAGTCAGTTCAATAGCCTATAGCTTGATATTATAACAAAGTATCAAAAAGTGTCATGAAGGTCTTTAAAGAAACAGAGGTTTTGGGTGTATAACCCTTCTTCAGTGTTATAACCATGGTAATTACTAACATAATATCAACTAACCTTTAAGGCTAAAAGTAAAAGAAATGTTTCTACACTGTAAAATCCTCTGTCAACAAAGTCTCCCATGAACAGGTAATTTGTGTCTGGCACATCACCTCCAACCTGAGATCAGAGAGACATAAAAGAACTAGCACCATTACGTCCCTAGCACCAGACATTGTTTAATATTATTGTAGTCCTTACTCCCCTGTAAAACTACATTTCGAAAGAAAAACCATTTCGTAGGACTGCTGAACACACAAACAGAAGTTAACAAGCCAAATGCCAAACTTGGATGTTTAAATTCTCAGAAAAAGGGGGTCAGATCAATAGAGATTGGAAGTTCATCACAAAACAGAAATGTACTGTTTTGAGGCAATAGATGTTTGCAAAGAAATGAGGAACGAAATCATGTTTTACCGAAATATGTTTGAGGTAAGATTATTCATTGACATCTTATGAAAATTATACTACAAATATGAACTTAGTCTTTAAAATTACCAATTATAGATGGTGCTTCAGCTAAGTTACAGATCCAATTTACAACCCAAATTTTGAGTTACTAAGCTTTCATATAGACAAGTGGTTAAAGTAAATGTTCTACCAACACTCATATAATGATTCCTCAAGCTAGGAAATTGTAACAGCTCTGTACAGTGATGGGGGTTTAAATGTTTTTCTACTTTGTTATAAAAATTTTGTCCTACCTTAAAAAGTTCTTTTAAGTCATAAAATTGTCCGTGTATATCACCGCAAACCTGTCCAAAGTGTGCATGCATACATGTTAGCTCCATAGCAATACACCAAAAAAACTTTCATAAAGGATATTTACTAAGTCATGATGTGACTAGTAGGTTAATGTCCACTGCTCTATACAGAAACTGTGTCAGGATTGTAAAGCTGGGTAAATATTGACAGATCAGAAAAAAGCCAATGAAAAACTAGGTTACTGGTACACTTAAGACATGGGCTAAATAATGTACACCATGTGAGGACACTATTTAAGTCAGACATAAGACATGTCCAGAAATTAAACAAGCTAACACTTACAGTTACTGGTGAGTCTACTCGTTGAACATTGGATTCTTCTACCAAGATCTCCCTGTGGTTAGAAAAGAGAAGTAACAAGTACCTGTCAGTCATCCAATCACTCAAGTACCTCAAATAAGACTTCCTGTAGAACTGATACCTGTCCAATACACAAACTGAATGGACTTGAGAACAGCGAGATATTTCCTCAGTGTTACAATTGCCCAATTTTATGCATAAATCTTACAAAGGTATTGCAGATCAATACCAAATTTGAACCACTTTGCAAGTGTTAAAATCATGGTTACAGGTCAATGGTCTGTCATTCCTGCCTCCTCCCCACCCCCAAACCTACTGACCCAGTAACCCCCAATTTTGAGTTAATACATTGAACCAATTTTGGAGTGATAATGATCCGTAATACTGGCATTAATAGCACTCAAGATGACAATAAAGGTAAACAAGTAAAGTATCATTTACTGACTTGTTTATCAATTCTTTTCAAGTGTAGGAATGTGACCAGTTTAAAAGGATAAACCTGGATGTGAAGATATCAACCTAAACAAATCAAAATCTGTAAGATCACTGATTTTACCTTTTCTCAACCCCAGAGACCCTTGTCAAAGTAGGAGTTATGTAAATTTGACCCAAATATGTCAAACATCCAAGCGTTATTTTCCCCCAAATATATAAAAATCAGCCAAAATAAGTGTATAGATGTGCAGGATTTCAATGTGCTCTGACTGATGGCACTGTATTACAGATAATAGAATAGGGGGGCTAACCAGCATAAGTGCATTTCTGTGAATAGGGATGACAATTGATAAAAACATTAGATAGGGGTTTCTTATTGGAGAAAGGGCACAAAATTGAATCATTATCCTGTCAAATTCCATGGGCTCATTGCATTCTCAGGCACATAATTCTGGACAAAAATGGTAGTTGTTACACCCCACTCTCACCCCTCCAGCATGAGAGCAGCACCGTACTGCAACAACAACCCACATGTGCAATAAGAATGCACCTCAACATTGCTATTTACAAGAGTGAAAATGTGAAGGAAAGGTTGTATAGACAATAAAATGATTATAATTTCATTCCATAATTAAAATAGCAATCATATTTTACCCTACTTTGCGTTTTAATCAATGACAATCGTTAAATAACAGAGAAAATGAAATAAGCTTATAAGATTACAAACGTACCTTGCTTTAGCACACAACTGCTTAACTTCTTTTTCTGTTATAAGTTCGCATCGTCTCAGCTTGTCAATTTGTCTGAAGAAAAGCATTTCCTCCACAATATAATTAAACAGGTTTCAAGGTAACTTTAAAATCTCAAGTATGTTTAGTGAATTATCAAGCAGTAGTTCCGTAGCGCCACAAGGAAATTGAAGGTTATCTACTATGGTGTAAACAAAATGTCGTCAACAAATGAAAGTTTACCTGTCCAGATCACTGCAATCTGCCATCTTTCCCTTGCTACTGTATATATGATCGATTCACTATGGTGACTACGTCTTTATTCACTACGCTTTGGTTTACCAAGTTTTACACAAGAACTATCTTGCAATTGACTTCACTTGTAAATTAAAATTAGCTGTGATTCCTGAAGTGCCGGCGACACGATTGATGAACTCGCAATCAGTGAGAAATTTGCCGATTTTTTTCCGTCAACGGAAACAAGGTTTTACTAAAGAAAAGTCTGGTTTAGGTTTCTACGTCTGACATAAAATTAGTTCCGTTATATGGAACGCAAAACGCTGTCAAAGTACGTGGATATATCAACTCTCATGGCCGCCGTGAACTGGCCGTGATGCCGCGCAAGATAGAAGTCACGTGGGTATTACGAAACGCGCCATCTGCTGACGCTTTGAATTTATTTGGCGCGAAACCGATTGCGATCCCAACGAGGCGTGGCTGAGGGCTTTGCCCCCCCCCACACTTTTCACTGTAACAAATAAATACGCGTATACGTAAAGCGCAAAAAAAAAAATAATAATTGCATCCTTGGCGGTCAGATGCTAGACTGCGACGCTGCGAACAGTTTCTCAGTTTTGCTCGAAAATCCACAGAGAAGAACGCAAACGAGCTAAATAGTTTATGTCCTGGGGAAGATGTAAAACGAAGTAAGTTTCAAATCATTCTATGACCTGAAATGTTTCTTACATACCGAGCCAATGCTGTCAAGGAGAACGCCTACACGCTTAATCCACACTAAAACGATTTTTTGACACGATACGTTTTCGAACCGAGAACTCATCCAACGCTTCACGCCCCCCCCCCCCCCCNGCCTCGAGCAACTCTTACGCCCGGTGGGGTACTCCCTTATATGGGCTATATAGGTATATGCGGCCCCAAAGGGTATGGTTTTTCAGCCGTTTTGGTCATAAATGGGGTATCTATTTTGGCCATTTTGGTCATAAATAGGGTATGGCTTTTGCACTCTGATTTCAACTGGATGTTTTAGAGGCTCCTTTTTCATCATTATGGATAAGACCATCAACAAAACCCTTCACGATGCCTTTAACATCGGTCTGAACTAGATAACTAATTATAAGGCAGGTCTGAAACAGGGTATTGATTAAAGGATCAGGTCAAACATGGGGTGAGAAACCAGAAACTGCAAGGGACCGCATACGATAAAGTGTCGAATTTTTGGTCAGGTCATAAATAGGGTAGGGAAAATCGTAGATTTTGGTCATAAATAGGGTAAGGGTTTTGGGAAGCAGGCCGCACACCCCACCCAATTTTTTTGAAGTAACTCGCCCCCCCCCGGGGGGGGGCTTTACGTTCATACCACCTTTACTGCAGCGCTTTCGTCGTCCACACTAAAACACTCAAAAACACTGATACCCTTTAGAAAACTATTACAGGTATTGACTCAAAAGTTATAAGGCTATTGAATAGCATTTGCACTACCAAACATTTCCTGCCTTTCTTTATAATTTCCTTTTTGATTGATACACCTTTTTTGGTTTTACTTGTACAGTAAAGGCGTTGCTTGAAAAGAGTTAAAAGTTTGTAATTGTTTAACCCTACGTTTGTTATTCTAAACTGCATTTTCTGCCATTTCAGAAGACTTCAAATCAGACAGTGTTTTATTTGGAGCATACCGTGGGTCCTCCTAGCTCACACTAAGGCTTTCTTTCTTAACCCCCCCCCCCCCCTTCTCCCACTCAAAAAGTTGCTGCGCGGGTGCTGCTTTTTAAAGATATTTTGCGAAAGATCATAAAAACCTTAGAGAATCGTAAGCTGGGCGCAAAAAAAACACCCCCTCAAGTTGTGTATCATTGTCAATGCATAATGCAACCTAAATATATTATTCTGCTTTGAGTATAGCGCCTGCAGATGATGTGGTAAAAATCAAAAATCGTTAGCCAAGTCATATGGATAATGAAACGAAATAAAATAAACAGATTTTAAAATGTACGTTAACTCATTTCCAGCATCAGATTCCACTCAAAAGCTAACGCAGCCACGTTTTGTTGACAGCTAGTAAAGACCCTAGTTACCTCAGCTTATGTCTTCAGTTTGTTATAAGATAAGGGTCAAAATATTTATGGTAATTTTTTTACCACGTGATAATGGCTTACAGTTAATGGGAAGATTATTTGCCTTTCTTGAAGAAGTCTATATTAGTATATTTTTTAATAAATATTTTCCAGTTAGTCTGCCTACAGACCAGCAAAAAATAAACGTCGTCTGTGGACAGACCAGACAGACTATTTTTTCGGTGCGCACTTTTTCCCATGGCTACCGGTCGTTAAGCCCCATAGTCAATTAGCCCCTATAGCTGGTTAGCCCCCAACCAGAAGTTGATTAGCCCCCATTCAGGTTTAAATCCTTAAAGAACGAGGAAAGGACAGCATTTCTGGCTGGGGGCCAATCGCCGTCTGGTCAGGGGCTAATCGCCTAGGGGCTAATTTACTAGGGGCTAAACGAACAGATACCCTTCCCATGCCACGCCGTCAAAATGAAGGTTTATCACGTGATCAAAGAAGCCATCTGTTTCGTTGTTGACTGGAGTCTGGGTCGACTTCTGGACTAGGGGCGTTCGCCATACATGTTTTGAAGCAGTTGTAAAGTATATTGGTGAACAAATATTCCGTAAGTTTAGCTCAGTCATGGGAAACTGCTATACAGTTGGACCGAATGAAGCATTAGTTCGTTCAGGTAAAATTGTGTTTGTATGATTTCTTTCTGCACGTTATGAACAATGCGTGACGAGGATTGTAATCCCAAACATTTGATCATTATGCTGGTCGATTTCGTTTTACACAACCTTTCAATAGATTCACACATTCACTGCTTTAGAGCGAATTTTGGTGATCGTTATACTTATTAGAATCAAGCTAAAGAGTACTTAAACGTTGGACGAACTTCCACGAATCCATCTTTCTTCTTCTCGGAGCATAAAAGCGTGCGGTAATTTTGCAGCGCAGTACAAGGGTTTTCGATCGATATCGGGATGTTCCGCATTGCAATCTTTACTTATGCATGCAATCAATTCTTGACTTTAGGTGGCTGCTGCGGCAATGATGCCAAAAAAACCGTTATAGGAGGATGGGTATGGGCCTGGGCCTTCGTAACAGACGTCCAAGCGTAAGTAAAAATGATCGTACCTGAACCGAATGCTCGTCGTCTTTCAAAATAACAGGTGGTAAAGCTTAAGCTTATATACAGATGTCATGACTACTCGCGCTGTACATCTTTACTTTCCGGCAACCAAGTTTTCATCGTAAATCTGATTACTGGACACATTTCTCTAAGAAAGCATTCGTTTAGAAGTTACACCAACTGAGGTTCAAGACGTTTCCGTGAGAATGCCAAATTGGCTCGTGTTTGGATACAGAACGTCACTGATTCTTTTGATGTTTTGCTGACTCCTCATTTTATTGTGTTGTGCTTGCTTTGATAAGCAATAGATTTGGAAAATAGTGTTTAGATTTCAGGTTTAATGGATAGTTCACAGATCATGCAAATTCACAGGATTTTGGATTTATTCAGCTGAGTTTCTTGCTATGTTTTGTGGGATGTAGGGATAAGGGGATTGTAGCTTTCAATATAGCTCAAACACATTTTCTGGGCACCAAAGTCAATCAGATCTTGTAATTTAAAGAAATAGATTTGGTTACTATTAATCTGAGAGGGCACAGGGAAGCCCCTTCATGTCCTTCATGGCTGTGAACATATTGCGGCAACTGGTGGAGACATTAAAAATGTAGACAAACAAAACTCCACAAGATTTTGTGTTTGGTTGTTTGTTTGTGTGTGTGTTTTGGTAGTACTTTTGGCCCAGTGTTTGCTGGTGTTGTGTATACTAGCCATATGATGAAAAACACTGATTTTGTCCCAAAAGTTTGATGAATTTGGATTTTGCAAAACGATCAAAAAATGTGACAAATATTACTAAACAGTAAATAAAGGGGGTTGAAAACATAGACTGATAGAAAATTGGTCCAAGCAAGGAGGTATTATTGGAACCTCTTTTTCCCTCTTTTAAATGATCTCTCTATTTGTGCTTTTGGCACACATTTCATTTGGACAAAATTAATGTGGCCAAAGCTTTGTGATGCATTCATTTAGGCATGTCAGTTTAAAGACAGGCAATGCCAGACAGATTATGCATCAAGATGAACTCATTGATTAAGTGCATCTTGAATGATACATTTATTGCTAAACTGAGGGCATATTGTGCCTAATACAGTGTAAGCTGTCTTCTTATGCATAATATAGAAGATGCAAAATTCATCCAGATGAATTATGCGTTAATTTTCTTTTTTAGTGTCATAAATCATTCATTTGCCCTTTATAATTTGGTTTATGTTCTTATCTCAGGCTAACTTTGGAAGTAATGACATTGAATCCAAAATGTGAAATGGTTGAAACTGCTCAAGGTGTGGCTGTGACAGTAACAGGGGTTGCACAAGTGAAAGTCATGACAGAACCTGAACTGCTTAAGACTGCTTGTGAACAGTTTCTTGGAAGAACAACGAGGCAAATTGAGAGCATTATCCTGCAGACATTAGAAGGACATCTCAGAGCAATCCTTGGTACTCTGTCTGTGGAGGAGATTTATAAAGGTGCAATGTAGATAATGCAAAAATGTTGCTAAATTGTACAAACCTATAGGTAGCCCATTTTTTGATCCCTGGCTGTTAATAGTTGCTGAAAAAACTATTGAGTGCACATACACTACTGTAAATCTCAAAGTGAATATTCAGTCCACGCAATTATTGGCCTCATAAACCAACACCTCATAGATATCTCAAGCTCATAATCTAATTGTTAAATAGTGTGTCGTAACTGTGTGGCCACTTAACAAGTAGTTTCCCTTTAAGCACTTGTATCTCATGTCTCAATGTTTCCTTCAAAGATCGTGAAGCATTTGCCGCTCTGGTTCGAGAAGTAGCATCTCCTGATGTTGGAAGAATGGGTATTGAAATCCTCAGCTTTACAATAAAGGACATTGAGGATCAAGTCAGTTATTTGGATTCCCTTGGTAAGACACAGACAGCCAAAGTGAAGAGGGATGCAGATATTGGTGTGGCTGAATCCAATAGAGATGCTGGAATAAGGGTGTGTACCTAAAAAAATGATGTGTATGTTATTTTAACAAGGTGATCATACAACTTGTGTCTATTAGACTCTGTGCTGCGATTTATCATTTTATGACCCACATGCTTCACCCCTGGGTCCAAATTAAAGCACAAAACTCACAACAGTGTATTTTCCATCCTTCATGTGTCAAGAACTAGATTGATTTAGTAAGAGTTCTATTGTATGGTGATTAAGCTTGGTTTTACTGGATTTACTTGTTAGCAGTAAACAAAAAGGCTTTTATTTAATATAAAGAACTCCTTAAATAGCTCCATGTATTTAATTGAATCAGGAAGCAGAGTGTGAGAAAGAGAAGATGGATGTTGCATACCAAGCCCAGACTAATATTGCTGACTCATCAAGAGAGTACCAGATGCAGAAAGCTTCTTATGACCAGGAAGTGAATGCCAGGAAAGCTGAGGCTGAACTGTCTTATGAATTACAGGTGAAATAAATTTCTGGTGCTATTTGTCAAGCGGGAAATCAACTCTGCATCAAATATTTTAAAGATGTGGGTGGTGAGACTTTGGCCAAAAAAACAGGCAAAAAATGAAGTAAACAGTTTCATAAAGTAAAATGTGGATCATAGATCTTTCTTCAGCCTTGGTTGGTATGTTAATGAGTTCCTCCAAATTATTTCTTTTTTCAAACGAAGCTGATTTAAACTCAGGTGTGGGACTGTTAGTGGAATTGTACTGTGTTATACTGTAGTCATCAAACATGTTGCCTTCTTTACTATTTGCGAAATTAAAATTGACATTCACATATACTAGTTTACTTTTTACTCTTCTGTTTCTGAATGTGGTTGTGGTGTTGGGTTTGAGCAAAAATATTGGCGAATCAAAGGTTTTGGCGAAAAAAAGGCACAGATTGGCAGNTATTTCTTGAATTTTTCTTTGGAGGTGTTCCTCTAGTACATCCATTTTGTTAACCATCTTATTTACGTGGCTTCTGAATTCATAGAAGGCTTGCAGTGTTCACTGCAAGTCTGCTGTGGCCAAGACTATCTCGAACGACTTCTAGCAATGCCTCATGTAGTTCTTTGAACGTCTCGAGTATGTCGAGACGTTGTCTCGAATATATGATTGCTTCTGTAACGGTCATCCAAATGGTCCGTCTTCAAACACAAATGTCACTGTTGCTAATCATCCGATCGCTGAGCAAACGCCATGAAAAGAAGCACTTTTTCTTTTAATAAGTTCTAGATGTTACTAGATTTAGACTGTTGATAGAGGCCATTGAGTATCCAAGCTTTCAACAGAACTATCATTGTGAACATTTTTTTCACACAATTTGAGTGCATTTGCATCCCGATTTCTACACTCATGCTTTCAGGCATTGAGTATTTTTTCAGGCAAGGTCACTGCCCCCCAAGTCCAAGGGTGCCTGTACACCTATGGTTCTGGTTGTATTTTGTATTATATTACGGAACTTGAGATGAGCAATGATTCACCATCAATCATCAGTTGACTGTTTTTTTGTGTTGTAGGTGGCAGCAGAAGTGGCTGCCCCACTTGCTAAGACAGATCAAATCGTAATTGTTGGTGATAATGCCTCTGGCGTTACTGGTGAGGTGTCCAAACTCGTCAGTCAGCTTCCTCCAGCTGTTCAAGCTCTCACTGGAGTTGACTTGNTATTTCTTGAATTTTTCTTTGGAGGTGTTCCTCTAGTACATCCATTTTGTTAACCATCTTATTTACGTGGCTTCTGAATTCATAGAAGGCTTGCAGTGTTCACTGCAAGTCTGCTGTGGCCAAGACTATCTCGAACGACTTCTAGCAATGCCTCATGTAGTTCTTTGAACGTCTCGAGTATGTCGAGACGTTGTCTCGAATATATGATTGCTTCTGTAACGGTCATCCAAATGGTCCGTCTTCAAACACAAATGTCACTGTTGCTAATCATCCGATCGCTGAGCAAACGCCATGAAAAGAAGCACTTTTTCTTTTAATAAGTTCTAGATGTTACTAGATTTAGACTGTTGATAGAGGCCATTGAGTATCCAAGCTTTCAATAGAACTATCATTGTGAACATTTTTGTTTTTCACACAATTTGAGTGCATTTGCAAAACGATTTCTACACTCATGCTTTCAGGCATTGAGTATTTTTTTCGGGCAAGGTCACCGCCCCCCAAGTCCAAGGGTGCCCGTACGCCTATGGTTCTGGTTGTATTTTGTATTATATTACGGAAACTTGAGATGAGTAATGATTCACCATCACTCATCAGTTGACTGTTTTTTGTGTTGTAGGTGGCAGCAGAAGTGGCTGCCCCGCTTGCTAAGACAGATCAAATCGTAATTGTTGGTGATAATGCCTCTGGCGTTACTGGTGAGGTGTCCAAACTCGTCAGTCAGCTTCCTCCAGCTGTTCAAGCTCTCACTGGAGTTGACTTGAGTGGGGTAAGTATTGAGGATTTGTTTTTTCATATCAAACAGCATGACTGATTCTTACTTTAGTCAGAGAAAAGTGTTTCACTGATAGTGAAGTGGTTGTGTTAATGCAAGGTGGTTGTTTTGTATTATAAATATAAAAGCAGTATTAATTACTATTGGCATAATATATATGACATGAAGTTACAAGGTGGCCAATTTAGAGTTTACTGTATGTAGCTTAACTTGTCAAAGTGCGACTCCATAAACCAAAGCTGTCAGTTATGTCTGTTTAGTGACATCTTTGTTGGCCAAAGTAAAGTTACTTTGTTAAGTGAGGCACAGAGAATGTGACATTGACAAATGCATTCTTTTATTCAGAGTGAAGTCTTTTCTTAATATTCAATGTAGTTTGATAGTAAAGAATGAAACATAAAAGTGATGCTTGCATTAATAAGTCTTGGTTTTCTTTTTTTAGGTTATTGGCAAAATTCCTGGTGCAAAATGAGAAAATGTTAGAGATGCTGCTGTAGAATAATTTGTTTTAGGTAAACTGATCCTTGGTTAGATTTTTTTTTAGAAGCAGTTTTTGTTTTTCTTTTCTACTACAAGGAAGGAATTCCAACTTGCTCCCAGTCTTTCTTTCTTCCTTCCTTTTAAGAAGACACCAGAGTAACTGGGATCAAGTCTCCCTCACAATCTTATTTTGATGATTGATTTGTCACTTGATGGATTGATTGATAATCAATTGAGTAGTGCTTTTTGAAGCAGGTATAACACTTTTTAAGTAGTAAAACAGCTTATTTTGGTAGAGATGTTTGTTAGCTTTCTTTTTCTCTGCCATGGACTTGATTATTGAGAACCTCAGATACACATCACTGATTCCTTCCTAACACAAGTTAAGCAGTATTTAATTTTGTATGCATTTGTAACGTTTTTGCATAGCTTAGCCTTATAGCAATTTCCGGACTGGAATTCAGTGCTATTTTAAAATAGCATATTTACAAGCAAGGCTTCAACATGTATGAATGCTGAAAGAATGTGGGGAATTGAATTTGATGGTGTGTTTTATAATGTCTGTCAGCAAAAAAAGTGTGGCTGCCAGCAGGGTTTAAGTAACAAGAGTCTTAGTCTGTTTATTTTGTGTATATTCGATAGTCTGTTATTGTGGATTTGCTACAAGCAAATAGCAGAATTTTGTAGTGCCATGTGCAAAAGATTCGTTTCCATTTTAGCTTGGAGTATGGACTAGTTGTTCAAAAGGTAGATAATGTTATCCATGACTGTCAAGTTTATACATGCTAGCAAACTACAATACTATCACTGTGGACTGCCATTTTGTCCAGTTGTAAATGTGTAAATTATCTATCCTTTCAACAATTGGCACCAGTATTGTAATGTGAGAGTGTCTACTTAAGTACTAACAGAATTTTTGTGCCAGAACTATAATATTATCAGAGAGCTGAGCTCAGAATTATCATACAGACATAGCAGTTAATAGTCAGCATTTAGTAGTTATCCAACATTCCTATTCACCCATTTACAACAGAGAAATGTTCTTCTTAGGACAGGTTAACAAAAATGAACATTCCATAGAATAGCTCTGCCAAGTAGTGTTAATGTAGGACTGTGCGGATAGTGAAACATGAAAATAGTGTTTTGAGACTAATACCCCATTCACACCAACATGTTTAAAAGTGGTTTAACTAAACAAGGTAAAAATTAGTTGCTCATACTGTACACACCCCACAACTTAATAAGGTGAAAACCTGTTTGATTAAAAATTAATATGTTAGCAAGGGGTTTAAAATTTGTCTTTTCAATATGACTTCAAAACGTCGTGGACAAGTCGGAAAAAACCCAAACCTGATTTAGCTAAACTAGTCTACTTGGTGTGAATGGAGCATTAGTTTTTGATTAAGTTTAAGACTAGTCATAACAGTCCAGATTTAGCAAAGATAATCTGATTTGCGTTTTGGCATTCTCATGGATTTTTCAAGAACAGCACAAAACTTGCATGATACCATTGTGACCTTGTTACAACAATGGCCTTGCAACCACTGGGAGTTAACTTGTCTAGGCTTATGATGCTGTTGCTTGTTAATCTGCTCTGGTGTTGTGACTTGGGAAGTATGATGGTATTGTGATTCCAGTGGTCATCTGCTGATGGTCAGCTACTGCTGTTAGTTCATAGCAGCAAATACATGTTGGAAAATTAGAATTCTGCTTTGCATTGTGCAGTGTAAAAATAATTTGCCACCCTGTTTTGCACAGTTAGGACAGTGAGTTAAGGCTTGTTCATTCATCCAGTGTCAATGGAGTCTAGTGTCTGCTAGTACCTTTGCACAGCATGCTTACAAGTTTAGGTGTATGTTATACATATTCAACGAATGTAGGAGGACCTTAAGCAGGAGGCAATATTATAAAAGTGCCCCTGAATTTTTCAGATAAAGACACCTCTGAAACCAGGGTCCTATTTCAAAACATATATGAAGTGATAAATAATCTGCCTAAGTATTTAACGTACAAATGACCAAAGTGGTTGTAACCAAGAATTTTGGTGAAGCCAGTGACATTGTATATTCACTTAAAATATACTTTGTTTTGCCAGCTTGGGTGATTATTGTGTCCCTCAATGTTATAAAGGTTGAGAGAGAACTGTTGGGAAAATGTTGCTGTGGTTTCAAATGTAGTTAACTCCAGCCACTCAAGGTGGCTCGAAACAGTTTCCAGCACTTTCCAACACTTAGATTTTGAAATGTTTGAAAATTTAAGGTGGCTCTGAACCCTATGTGCAGACAAAATTTGATAATAAGAAAACTTCACCCTGCCATGGAAATTGTTTTGTATTCCATGGAGAAACACCATGGGCACTTGAGGGTCTTTTGTTCTTCTTCTTCTTCCCATTCACTTCCTGAAAATGTAATAGTCCTTCTTCCTCCTTTCTCCCCAAACTTCTTTCTTTCCCAGTGTGCACTCTGGTATTACACACACAATAAGCCTAGCTATCCCTTGAAAAGCCTGTCGTGTGGAGACAAAGCACACTAACATCTGCCAGATACTAGAATATGTGCACAGGCTAACATAAATTTGGTGGCAGCTCAAGGATGAGTGACATGCAGAGAACATTTCTTGATTTTTGAAGGTGGGAATGTCTGGATGTTTTGAGCCAGTGGCAGTAAGGCGTTTTTCATTGCAGGGGGGGGGGGGGGAGGTTCAGTTTTTGATGAAATTTTCTTGGACTTTTGGTAGGGGTATTTTCTGGGTGTTCAAAAAAGTACTATCTCCCAAGGTTTGTACAGAATCTGGAATATTTCTTGAAAAAGTATGGAAATCTGCAAGCTGGTTTTCTAGAATTGGAGTAGTCTGGAAAAGGTATGGTTTACAGAGATATACTGTGGGAAAAGAAGTCTGGTGTTCTTCCAAAGTGCAAAGAGGGACTGACTGGAATCTATAGTTAACCAGGGTTATTGTAACTTTAAGAACAAGACTGGTCTAGATTGAAAACTTCTCAAAACTCAACAATTCACCAGATTTAAACAAAGGAAATCATCACCATAATGCTTCCTAATAAAAATTATTCATCTCCATTCTCTCCTGAGTTTTAGCTTTGATTGACAAGATATATCAAACACACAAGACCATGTTTTACCACAATTCCAAACACCTTGTAGTTAGACAAAAATACTCTGCTACGCATTGTATTTTCAACTCTCTTCTCAGTGTTTAGAAATGTGGTCAAACACGGTCTTTCATGTTTGATATATTACTTTACTAATTAAAATATGGGACTTAACACTTGACAAAGTGATTACCGAGGATTGAATTTCCAGATTAATGTAAATCACAATAAACAGCATGCACCACAGAGACTGTCACCACTAATACTTTCTTGCCTCGGCACAAATTATTGTAACTGGAAACAGGCTGTTTTTTATAGCACACAAGCCAAACATATCACATCATTAATAGCACTGTTAAAAAAGTGTGCACTGCATAGATAACATATTTTACATTTAAGCAATAGGGCACTTTTTCCGTGTGTTTACATAGCCTCATGTAACCACAAGGAGGGTTGGGAGAATTTGAGACAATGTTATGATGCAATTTATCATCAGTAAGAGGACAGATGCGTAAAAAACTGATGTCAATTTGTTAAATAACAAGCAATGTGAAACACTTTGTTGAACAGATTTCAAAAGGAATCAACTGAGCAAACTACAGGAGTGGCAAACTTTGGATGACCTGTATGTGTCATATGCATCAAACACCCATACAAATCATTGAAACTAGACACGTGCAGAAAGCAGAAAAAATTGTCTGGCATTTGAACAAACCAGCTGGATATGAAAGTACTAGTGCAATGTAAGACAAGGCTGTTTTCTGACTTAGTTGCAAGCACACTTTCAACTTTATATCTTATTTTAACATTCAAAACTGATGTCATTATTTACATGGTGCATTTATAACACTGAAGATCATTCAGTTATATTACATTAAAAGAGAAAAAGCAAAGTTTGAAAGGAAAGGGTAAAAAATCTGCTAAAAAAATGGGCATTTTTTTTGTCCATGGCATAGCTTTTTAAGTTTTTCTTCTATCAAACAAAATGTCAAAATGTCAAAATGTATTAGAAAACAGCAGGGCTGTTACATGAGGAAAGTAGGCAGTCTTGTTTCCAATTGCTTTCCATCTGCATTACCTTTTAGTCATTTTCAAACTTTGAGAGATCATTTGAAGGCCTGCTGTAACAAACTAGTAAGAGCAACATTCATGACAGGAATGATATCATCAAACAAAAAGAGTTTTGGTCTCCTTTAAGCTGTTATCTCGGATATGCTGGCTGTTGTGGAAACTGTTGCTGTTGCCGCTGCATTTGCTGCAGTTGTTGTATCTGTTGTTGAAGCTGCTGTTGCGTCATCTGTTGCTGCTGTTGTGCATTACCACCCCCAAGGTCTATAGTGAAACAAATGCAGTTGATAGAGTTGCACTCTGGCATGGCACAATTACAAGCACAATTGCAATCACCAAACTGAAAAAGAGCAAAGAAACTTTTTAACAAATGACTAACTAAAGGTGAAAAGGATTTGACACCTGCAAAAAAGTAATAACTGCTAAATGACTACAGCTGGTAAGTTCTCTAATTCAATGCAACTAGTCAGTGTGGTGCTTAAAGTGAGGATTGATGAGTAGATCACAAAAATGATATTTTAAGTATCACATACTGCACACTCTGGTCCATTGCAGTCTTGACACATGGCTCCACCTGGCTCAGCATTCATACAACAACAAAATGTATCATCACACCACTAGGATAACAACGTCAACAACAATGATCAATTCCTTGTCTAATGTATCTTACATGTGTATATGTTTGTCATTAGATATGTCTGTAGCAAAGTTTGGTCAAACATTTCATTATCAGAGAAATGGCCAGTTTAACTAAATTGAGTGGTTGCAATATGTAAATCATATGTTGAGGTTTGTTTTTTGCATGTATTATGCCACTAAGGGTAATTACTCTTGGAATCAAATGAAACTACTGGCAACTGCAAGCAGATGTAACAGGTAACACAATGGCAAATGGCTTTCTTTGGTCTTCACTTATTCAGCACTTATTGCACAGCTGTGATGCCCTTAAAGTTTTATGTGTTATCCACTCATCTCATTACTGAGAACAACTATTTATATGATAGCAACTACATTGTACTAAAGCATATACAGTGGAATCCCAATTTCTCGAACCTCCAAGGGAAACAAAAATTGGTTTGAAAAATCGGATAGTTTGAGAAATAGGGGTAAAATTACAGTGTTCCACTGAGGAGAGGGAAATGACTTTTGGTTCAAGTTATTGGGAGCTTCTAAAAAATGAGGGTTCGAGAAATGAAAAATGATCATGATTATAACTCCAAGTTGTTTAGCACCTGTTTTGAGGGACACATGCAGTCCAAACAAGACTTTTTACTTGGTGTAGAACAGTCACACATTTCAGCCATTGACAAAAAGCAGGCACACAGGCAGCATCTCTGTGCATCATTCTCATTTGCACAACATGATCCACAACATAGCTCTGATATCCATGAAGGACATATATTTATTCCTTGTGACTGTTAAATGTAAATCAAGATTTTATATTAATCCTTAAAAGTATCATCACTGTTAAATTGTTGGTAGCAAGCAGTCTAAATATTTTAGTACACACTCTTAAGAATTCCAGTCCCAAACCTACAATTTTCAGCTAAAAAAAGGCAAAGCAAGTACCTTCTATCATGGAATAGACAACAATAGCAAAACAAATCAAATCCGTAGATTTCTAACAGAACTTGCCAAGTGTCTAAACTACTCTAGGTTAAAAGAAGTGTTGTGTCTTCCCCTAAATGGCATGCTACTTCATCACAGGTAACCTTGTTGCAGCATAATTTTCAGGTTACACTAACAAGTTACAAGGTAACCAGGACACAGCCCAAGTCAACTATCACGCATAGAAATAGAGAACGAATAACTATATTGTTTAAGTGTAAATCTACTAGTCGTCCAAAACTTTATCTCAGTCCTCTTCAGACACTTTGAAAATGCAAAGAAGCGGCGCTGCCAGTTTGTGCGCACACTGCTGGACAACTCACTATCTACAATAGCCAGTGATAGTGAGTAACATAGCCAATCAGAGAACAGTATTCACAGAAGAATGCTGGTTGATTTACACTAATACTGGATGGAGAGTGCTGCTTGGAGAAATTATTCAGAATCCAATGGTTTCTTGAGCCATTTGTTCTCTGCATCTTCCTCTAACTTACCTTCAAACACTGCCTGATTAGAAGAAAAATGATGACAAGAGCCAGGTATGATCCAACAACAATCATCACAATAGCAGCTGTCGACAACGCCTGGTCACTGGTGTCACTGGGACCTGGAGTTGGCTGTGAGACATGACAGTAGATATTAATTAATACCTATCACAGTTAAAGCACTCCCTGAGTTTCCAGTTACCATTATCCTATGCATGAGCAGGACATAAGGAGGATGTTTCACATTACTTATAGTGATGTCATCATCTCATCTATGCAGTTAGGTACAAGTATTTGTTTCCCTGGCTGAACCAATCCTCACCCAGTATGTAAAGAGGAGTATCATCCTCGTGCTGCAAAATGCAATAAAATCTGAAATATGAAGTTGTCAGGCAAAAGATGCCAACAACAATCAGACAAAGATAAGCAGAAATTATGTTGAGATTACCCTCAAGTGTGAACAGGTTATCTCTGCACTAATTATCGTCATGTTTGTAATAATGCTCCCATATCTGTCACAACCGAGGATTTTCACTGAACTTCCTTAAAGATTGGTAATACCCCCTGACAAACTTAAAAAAGTTAAATGTTTGCTCTCAGATTTGTTGGCACATCTTAGCATTTCATTTTGATCCCTCTGCTATCTAGTGAGTCAAAACCTTTCGTAGACCGAAGCATAACACAATAGGCACTTTTGTGACTCCGTGGGACGTAAATTGGTGGTGGGTATTCTGAAAGTTAGCCCAAATATGAAAACAAAATTGATTGTAAAATTAACCCTAACGGCTAATACCCTAACGGCTTACCGCCGTTTCGCTCAGACTGCGTAAACGGAAACAAGGGTCAAAATAAATCCGTTATTTATAATAATATCGTGATCACCATTGCTATTGTTTAAAACAAAGTTTCCGTAGGTCACTACTCACGCGAGTTGTCGGAACCATGATAAACTTCTTCTGTGCTACTGTCTTCACTTTCAGGATTTAATTAATCAATAAACCAAACTAAAATCCAAAATTAATCATCTTTTCCTCATAGAAGCTCCAAGATGTTTTGTTGATTCCGTTCCATGCGTAAAGAGCGAAGTTGTTTTTCAAGAACCCACCAAACTGTCCAAACAGTCTGAAAATCACATCTTGCAAGCGAAATACCGGATTCTCTTTCGTCAGAATAGCGCTCTGTTGCCCAGTTTTCACTGCAAAATTATAACGTCTGCAAGTATAAAGGTTTTTCGAGTACAAGCTTGAAACAAAACTATTTTCATCCCCAAGATCGTAAAAACAAATTTACTCTCAAGGCGCGCTTTCGGTCCCAGCTCTCTATCGTCGATCATGGTGCCTCGTTCTCGCGTCTTTGCCCGAGCGGGATTACGCCCGACAACAGTTCTTTGACGGATCAATACTACCACTTTGAGTTAGAAGCTTTTAGTATGTAGTACATATCTATTATGGATTCGTAATTAAAGGTTGTGTACCATTTGTGCAAAAACAACACATGCAAACACAGTACGGAGCTGTTTAGTCACACATTTCAAGAAAAGGTGTTAATTAACAATTAGACCCGCGGCCCTTGAGGACTAAGGGTGTAAATGTTTTAGTATCACCCAACTAGTCAGACAGAAAAGGCAATAATCAAGTTAGCAAATGCAAGTTGAAGAAATATTTATTTGGGAATAAAACAAAAGAAAGCGTCACGCTTGATAGGGCCAATTTCGCTACTCAAGGACAGTTACTAATAAACTCTAGTAGCATAGCCAATTAAAATGCAGGATTTGCATTAGTCTACTAGTTGGGTGATACTGACTCAGGATGGTTACTATATCCTAAATTAAATTAAATTAATTACTAAATTAAATTAAAAATATAAAACAGTGGTGATAAACATTTTAAAAACATGCATTTGATGCAAGCTACGATGGCTGAAGACCAAGAGTTTATAAATTAAATTAATAACGAAATTAAGTTTGACGTCTGTATCAACAGGTGTACTTTTGATAGTTTGGTTCGGTCCTCATTTGGTCCAAACTTGAGTTAAGTTTGGCTCATGAAAAGTTCGGTGTCTGAACTGGGCCTAACTAAACAAAAATAAACCACTTTATTTAGGTGTCAAAGTGTTGAGCACTACTGTACTAAATGAGAAAGCTCAAAACCAGCTCTGAATTTTTTTTCCTCTTTTGCCGGAAATAGGCGAGAAAAAAAATCCGACGAGTTTAAGAAACTTGCTCGCCTTCGACCATATGGTTAAAAAGTCATTCATTATTATTCAGGCCCATTAAGTATTAACTGCCCTTGTCTGTCAAGCAAGAAGCTACAAAAGACCCAGACGGTAAAAAACGCCAACACAATAATATTAATTATTAATTATTAATTATATTAACGTGTGTTCAATATCTAGATTTTGTTGCATATCCATATTTCTCCTCTTAGTAGTTTCTACTTCTTTTTCATTGGTTCTGAAAGGGAATCTCTAAGTACTGAAAGGAGTTGGTAAGACGAGAGGTTGGTATTTTCATGCTCCAACAAGGGAGCCCAAACCTTTTTCAGGCCTGTTTTTTTTCCTATTTTTATATTAACTATCATTTTTTTGATTAGGTAATGCTATCATGATAAAAGTGTCTCCCCCAAAAAGTAATGTATACCCTTGTATAGGTGCTGATGCGACTACTTGTAGTAGGTTACGCTGAACAGCGTAGGAGAATTTTGTCCTCAGCTGTACTAATGACAGCAATTTGGTTAGGATGCCAACTCTTCTCTCTCTGAGGAGTCTGAGCAAACAACTGACAGAAATGGAAAGGCGCAATAAAGGTAAAACAAGGTTTTAAATTGAGCCTCATCTCTTTATTTTAATACATTAATATCACTGACAGTCTGAGAAACAAGTACAAGTTCTTGTACCAGTTGAATGTGCTATGTCATCAGTAAACAAAACAGACAACTGGAGATCTCCAAAATAAACCCTCTACAATATATTTAGCTACTATTACAGAGCTCACTAATGTTACTGTAATCAATAGCGCAGTTCTTATTCAAGTGTTCAAACAATTTTGCGCTTACTAGATCTGTCATAAGACTTTGGTGATTCTGTACCAAATGACTGCTGAAATTGGGGCACTTCACGCGAATAAAAACGCCTTTCTATTACTTTATCAAAAAATGTACACAATTTTCTGGCATTGTGAGATCCTGGTTTAAGTTGTTTGACATCTGTACAGTTGAGATTCATCATGTCAGCTCCAATTTCTTCAGCAAGATTTAATCCCCGGGATGAATGTAGAATTCTTGCCGTTCCAGCTTGATCTAGCTTAGTGCCGACAATTATGACAGGAATCTGGTTTCCTGCAAACTGCTCGGAGTCATAGTCCTCACCTATATCAATGGAAAACTCAAACCAACTGTCTTTGTTAGAAAGTTTTTGCTGCTTGGCACTCAAGACACTGTTGCCTTCTTTGCCAGAACCTAACACCTCTGCGAGCCATCTTCTTAGATTTGTAAATGACTTTTTGTTTGTCAAATCGTGAACCAGAATCAATCCATTGACACCATTATAAAATATTGAACGGCTGTTCTCGTGGCTGGCAGAGCCTCCAACATCCCAAAACTCTAGAAAAAAGCTCCTCATTGCTGGCGTACCTTCTTTGTAGTCATATAGTTTTACCTCCACTGTACAACCTATTGTCCATCCTGGGGTTGAAAGACTTTCATTGTGGCAAATATGATGAACTAAGGAAGTCTTTCCAACGCCTGAATCCCCAACAACTAATATCTTCACTTTCTCCAAGGCAGCCATTTTGACACGTCATACGCGAAGAAACTGGGCTCCAGCCTCAAAAGCTCTATTAGGTACCAGTACTTTTCACATTGAAAACTACCACTAGGCAACACCAGGCTACCCATACAGTGTACCAGCATCTTTCCAAGCTTAAGCTTATATTTTTATTTACCATGTCTGTCTCCGCCCTCGTTAAAGCCCAGTGGCTCCGCCAAATGATGCTTCAAAAATCGAAATATCTTCGAGTCTTGGATACGTCTTGGCACCTTCCAAAGGAAAATCGTGATCCGAAGAAAGAATTTTTGGCTCATCGGATTCCTGGGGCTAAGTTTTTCGACATTGAGGAATGTGTCGACAAGTCATCGCCTTATGAACACATGCTGCCGAATACTGAAGATTTCTCAAATTACGTTCGCAGTCTTGGGCTCAAGAACGACAGTCATGTTGTTGTGTACGATAATAATAATGGTGGATTATTCTCGGCCCCCCGAGTCTGGTGGATGCTTCGCGCATTCGGGCACGATCGGGTATCGATTTTGGATGGCGGGTTTCCAAAATGGTGCGCAGGGGGTTATCCAGTTGAATTAGGCCCAGAGAATGCAACAGCAGTTGAAGGTATATGGGGGGGGGAGGGAGTGGGGGGTACAGCTAATAACCCCTAAATTAGATGCAGGGGCGTGGATGCTGGTGAACCTCCCATGAAGATGCTCTTTGGGCTCCTTACGTTTTCTCTCCTGGCTTCGTGGGGAGGAACACGTGACAAGCCCAAAGAGCATCTGTGTGGGGGGCTAGGGTGGAGTTGCCCAGTTATGAGACAACAGAGTCCAGTCTGTACCAATATACAGGTTTTATAAACAATCATGAGCTCAAAATGTCACCCCTGGCCTGGACTGCAGACCCTATATCACATTTTTTGGGAATAGGTACTATCGTCATGTGCTATGGTTTTCTGCTCAGTCCTTTCAATAATTTTTGAAGGGGACTTAATTAAGACAGTTGGCAGCAGCTGTCCCCCCCTGGGGTTCTCCCAGAAAGATTGGGTGAGGGTGTGTGTGTGTGTGTGGCCCTCTTCCCAAAACCCTTACCCTGTGATTTTCCCTACCCTATTTATGACTTGACCAAAAATTTGATAATCCTATTTATGACTGTTGTGGCTCGCACAGTTGCCCTAATCATAATTTATGAAGGGCTTTTGTTGATGGTCTTATCAATAATGATGAAAAAGTAGTTTCTTCTAAATAACATTCTCAATTCAAGACTAGAGTGCAAAAACCATACCCTATTTAGGACCAAAACGGCTGAAAAACCATACCCTTTAGGGCCGCACATACTTATATAGCCCACATAAGGGAGTACCCCCTCCCCCTGGCAGCTATCTTTTTGTGATTGAGGAGAGGACGTTTTGTAATGGAGGACTTGCGCAGATTTTCTCATTTATTCTGTATTATTTGCTTTGTTAAAACTCCATGAATAAAAAATGATGATCTAGGGCACAGAATTGACTTTACTTAAAGGTGAAGTAAAAAGTTAAACAAATATGTTTAATACCATCCATATACATGAAATGTACATACTAGTTCAAATGTGTCCTGTTCTCATATGTCACATACACACCATAAGTCTGAATGCATTTCTTATTTCTGGATCAAACTGAATCCAAGACAAGAAAAGATCTCCAATGAGTAAGCAATGCATTATTACTGATACATACTTCAAAGTGTTGTTGTTTACTCAACTTGTTCCCTTTATTTTGATAATCACATTGAAATAAATGAGAAACTTCACAATTTGTTAAATACTACTTTATTTTTCTTAAATTGCTGCACTTCACCACATAAAAGTAAGTGTTTTGTGAAGTAGCTGAAACTTCACATCAGACATGAGTTCTTATGGGCTGATTGTTATTCAAATAAGTTTGTACAGACTGTATCTGCAACTGTGATTAACATTGCTTGTGCTTTTAATTTTCCCAGATGGTGGCCCATTCAAAGCTACCTTAAACACAGCAATGTTCTGTAACTTTGATTTTATGAAAGCCAATTTAGCACAACCAACCATTCAAGTTGCTGATGCTCGGTCACCTGGCAGATTCTTTGGCACTGAAACTGAGCCGCGGCCAAACTTTCCAACTGGTCACATTCCACATTCAAAGAATGTCCCTTATGTTCAGTGCTTAGATCCTCAAACAAAACTGATGAAAGATCCTGAGGAGCTAAAGAAAGTATTTGAGGAAGCAGGAATTGATCTTGGAAAAGAGCTTATTACATCTTGTGGATCTGGGATCACAGCATGTGTGGTGGCTTTGGCAGCACACCTTTGTGGAAAGAGAGACACCATGGTGTATGATGGGTCTTGGGTGGAGTGGGGTCAGCGTGCTTCGTCTGATATGATTGAAAAGAATTAGACATTTACTTAATATTTTATCCAGTAATGTAAAAGAGAAAATTGGAATTGAAATGAGAAGGATCCTAGACTTGTAGATAGTAAACTGAGAAGGGTAATCGGAACTTGATCTGATGAATGCAATATGTCAGGGCACCTAATGCCACGGGAGGTGGCTTGATGCATAACTCAAGGAACAAAGCTTTTACATCATTTGCTGAGATTTGAATTTCATCATAATCATAATCATCATTATCGTCAACATCATCATCATCATAATAATAATAATAATGATAATAATAATTTATTATTTAGTATTTATACAGTGCAAATTAACATGTAAATATGATCAAATGTGCCTAATGTACTCCTGGGTAACCTGAGTAAACAATAAACTGATTTTGTAGTTCAGTGTATAGAGGTATTGTGTAACATAAGGAACACAATGAACTGGGTTTGACATACATCAAGGAGGGTTAACCATTATTGTTTAGAACATTACTGTAGACTTTCTATATGGTTACAAGGAACATGTAGGATAATAATCATACTCTAAAAGTCAAAGAACTGTATACCATAGAATACTAACATTTTTATTTTTTTGATCTGTAAACTACAGGATAGGATCAATATTTTTTTCCATACAATATTCTCCAAAGGTTATTTAAAAATATGAATAATTTTCATGCAGCTTTTACAAGACTTGCAAAATAGAATCTAAACCCTACAAGTTCCTTGATAGGTGACCCTTAACTTATTATCTTTCTGCTCTTATTTAAAACAATGTAAAACAATGTTATCTTTGGCACTTAATATTTGTTCATGTGATCTGTACCACACTTGCCAAACAAAGGCTTTTATCTACAAAATTACTTGTTAATAAGATTTGCGCTATTATACAACATAATGCCCTGATTTCTTGATCTATTTCCTTTCTAAGAAATTTACTGGTATTTACCTACCATACAGCACTGTATTTATAGCAGCTACTACTAGCAGTAGATAAACATGCCAAATTTTACCAGTAAGATACACTCAAAATTTACCAGTAAGATACACTCCTTATGAAGTTATAACTAAGGAAAAATCACTATTATAATCAGACTGACTAATCACTTCATTGTGATTGGCTGAGAGCAAGCAAAGTTATCATTCATCCCCTGCAAGCAAATTAATACATGCTCATTCTTAATTTTCTTAGTCATTTCATAACTGAGTAATTGCACGAAGATCGTGGAATACTACAATGGCTATACAAGTTTTGGATTGTACACAGATAAGCTCTAACTTTGTGAATAATTGAAGTTTGAGAACAAACCTGTGTCAATTATATTCTTTAAATGTTGAATTTATTTTAAAGTAAACTAAGACAAGTTACATCGAAAATTGGTCTTGGCTAATTCAGGTGTCCACATCTTCAGGGTATCGTTGTTGAAGACAGTCATTCGGTATGTACCGGCTTCCAGTAAAACCTTTAAAATATTTCCCTAGTTCAGGATGTGGGTTTAATTGCTGATTAGGATCTTCCCTCAAGTTTACTGCAAGAAGAAAAGAGATCAGTTACACTAACCATGGATCCAGCAGCTGGTGCAGCAAGTGTCTGCAGTCTGAACATTCATTTCATCAAATAATTTGAAATACCATGCTTACTATGGGCAGCATATCTTTGAGAGCCATCGTCACCTAGCACATTGTAGAATGGTTGATTACGGCCGCCAGGTGACTGGTCAACACCCATTTGCTGAATCCATGTCTCATCCATTCTACAAACAGGATCCCATCCATAAATAACGCAGCCATAATGGTATCTGAAGATCAAGACAGCACTCATGACCAAATGAAAAAGCTTACTATGCACATTATCGCAAAGGTGACTATTTCAAGCACAAGTATCCCCCACCCCCCACCATCAGATGAGAATCTGAACTAAATATTATGTACTTATCGACTGAGTGTGAGGGCTGGATGGATATATATTTGGCTTGATGTCAGGACTATGGACTGAGCACAGCAAAGTCCATGCATCCATGCATGCCATGTGGCTCTCAGGAAAATATTTATTTTCCCATCCAGCTTGACCTCACTCAGTAAGTATTTTATAATATGACCATTTTGTGAACTTCATTTGTGAGGAGTAAGTTTGTAACAGAGTAAGTTGGTAACTGAAGTAGTTCTGAATCAGACAGTTTGCCGGGATAGTAAAATTCGCTGTCAGTGTTCACTTCTGTCACATTTTGAAGAAACAAAATTTTGCAGTAATAAAATGTTTTCTGTCATAACCTTCCAACAATTGCAACAGAGGCCATGTGCATTTCTAGTAGGGCTGTACACGTCCCTGTCCCATCACTTTGATGCATATCACCCTTGTAACAGGAAAATCTTTCTTATGGTTTTCCAACGAAATAGCACGTGATGCCATATGGGTGATATGATAAAACTTATCTTTCCAACATTTTAAATAAGGGATCAGCATCCCACTTATTAATATTTTTGTTCTCATCAGCATTTAACAGCATTTGTAAAACTAAAAAGTAAATGGGGCACTTAATTATTAGTGTTTTATATTGATTGTCAATGCCTATGGACCATACTTACAATCTGTGCCTCATAACCATTCCAACTTTAAACCCAACTTGAGAATGGCTTGGATCAGACCTTAATTTCTGATGTTAAAAACAGATTGAATGCAAGAGGTTAGAGATGAGCACTACAAGTGATTATGATACTTTATGGAACCATTCTGTAACAATGATCTTGTTCTTTACTGTAAGCTATGGTAGAAATAACAATTTTCTCCTCAATACCCTGTGTTCAAGTGGAAAATGTTTGGAAACTGCTTGAGTCACCACCACATTTCAGCACTTAAGATCCCCATGTTTGGCTTGGCAGATATTTTTCTTTTAATATATCTGTATTTGAAACACACACAAATGGCCTGGGCATCTAAGATTGCAGGTGATGATGATGTGGAACTTTTCATTAAGCTATGGAAAATGCATTGGCAGAAGAGTGTAGAAATGCTAAAACTCTTCTAACCAACCTTACAGGTCCCTTCTGTACTCAGCTTTTAAATTTGATTGGTACATCAGCCATTACTTAACATCTAGACTTGCACAACAAGGCAGCCCATTACACTGAAACCCATTACACTGGCACCTAACCATGTCTGGTTTGACTGGCATGAAGTGACTGAAACTATTTCTTCCTTGCCTAAATAAGAAGCTAGTCCCTTGCAGATCACTCCCCCCCCCCCCTTGCCCCGCTAAATTTAATTCAGTGATACCAGTTTTTATACACATCAGGGGACAAAGAAACCTTGACAGTTCAGTGTGTTGTACAAGAACACATGATGACTCCAGCCAGGGTAACAACTGGACTCCTTGATCCAGAGTACAGTAGACTGACCATCAGATCATTGTGTCTCCCACAAGTAAGCATATAACCACAAAATAATATGCCAAAATGTTTTATTGTCAAAAATATAATATATCTTGCCATACTGGCTGTGGAGGATTATCCTCTAAATCCTGCTGAATTTTTTTCTGATTGGCTCGTTCAAGAAGATTATCCAGAATTCCTCTGCGTATTGAGACTGCACCACTCATTAGAGTCTCAAGGCTGTCAACTGCCTGTCAAAGGTGTTCAGAAAAGGACATAATTTAGCGCCACTATAAGTCAGAGTAAATATGTATTATAACGTCAAATCTGAGCCAAATGGTAAAATCCCTGCTGACTGGTCAGAGGTGTTCATGTGCTAGACATGAATGACTACAAAGTGATATGTTCAGGTTACATTGTACTCTAGTGAAAACTAAATAGTACAGTTGTTAACCTGAGTAGAGCTTCAGTTCACCTGAGTAGCTCTAACCTGCGAATGATTAGCTCTCATTGTAAGGATAGCAAATAAATTGTATTAATGTGTCATTTGACTCTGACTAGGACCTGACTCAGGTTCAGATTTGACTTGGCCAACCAATACACTCATGCAGATTGTTAACCATTTTGAACTAGAGAGGTCCCTGTGGAAGCATTTTCACAGTGCTGAGTAGAACAATTACTAGTTATGGCTTTCTTTAATACAACACCTTAACTTGATTTTCTGCATGAGTACTAAACACTAAATTTATTATTATTTTTTTTGTACAGATGTGTTTGTCACTTTATCACAGTATGCTGTCTCTTTATGAGTGCAGATAACCAGGGGTCTGAGAAGTCCGTAAAAGCAACATGTTTGCCAAGAACATGTCATCATTGAATTAATCTCCAGCAATCAGCATTTATGAGCAAAACATCCAGAAGTCTGTGACATCCTTACAAGCTCTCCTCATGGCACATGCTTGCTTCCTCAGGAAAACACCAACAATCCTCCAGCAATTTAAATTACAGTGGAACCCTGTTAATCTGGTCACTAACAGACGATAAAAATCTGGCCATATTAATGAGGTGACTGTAAGGTGGGGTTCCACTGTAATTTTATAAATAAGCTACATTACTCTACTTAATGTACCTCTTCTAGGTCAATTCCCAAATGAACCTGTATTCTTGCCAAAAGTAGTCTGCTATTTTCATCATCAGGGTCGAGAAATAGAGCTAAGTCAAGAGAAGAATGCAGACCACTCAACCTGTGAAACAAATAAAGTTTGTGACACAATTATCTATTAAATCTTTGTTTGTGGACAGAGTTGTCACTGCTGCATGCCAATGTCTGTAGATTTTTCATGTTGAATACTCCTGCTCTTACGAGGTCCAGTACATATGCAATGCAAGTAATTTGTCTCAAGCAACGAGTCTTAATTAAGTAATGAAAAAGAAACCATATTGTTTGAGGGTTACTTTTTCTCTTAACATAAATAAAAATATGTTGCTGTCAAAAATTAAAAATATTTTCAAATCAAAATAACTTGAAACTAATTTAATTTGCATTAATTTTTCCTTTGTTTGAGATCTATTAACAAAATGTTTAAACAAAGAAAAATTCTAATTAAACTAGCCTGAAATTCATTTTTAACTACAAGAAATATAAAAAAATTAACATTTCCAGGTCAGCAAATTCATGAAGGATATTTTAATTATTAATGTGAATACCTACCGACTACCAGGGTCCTCTACCGTCCTATAACTATTGATGATATTTGCTACCATACGAATAAATACCTGTGTGATAAATATGGACACAGATATATAAAATAAACATGACAACTGACTTACAACTTATTATTAGCTTGCAATATTATCAGCTCCAGGTTTATTTCAAATGAAGTGCAGGTTACCTGATAAGTCCTTCGTTTTTTGTATTTCCCACTTTATTCTTACTAAAAGCCTGCATTACATAATTTTGGTTACAGTGACAAAAATGAATAAATGCAGATTGTTCCAACATGGAAAAATGTGGAAAAGTCTCCAGGAACAAACAAGGAAGTATTAGAATAATCATCTTCCTCCAGCCGCCACACTGTGTTTTTTCCCGCAACTAAATATTATCAGTTCTACAACCTTGGGCAGCTTGAACTGTTTCCAAACACCAATTAAAAAGTCAGCTTTGTGTTTCCCACTTTGCAATCTTTTTATTTCTCACCCAATTTAACCCTAGTCTTTACACCAGTTATTAATATTATCAAGTTTGAACATAACTAAATATAGGGGCATAATATATATTTCCAGCCACTCTATTACCTGTCTAGGAGTAGCTCTTACAAAAAGAACATCCCCAACAGATATTGTGTTTGTCATCGGCGAATAAAGCAAATCCAGGCACTGCCTCTCTGACAAAAATCTTCCGCCATTAAAGCAGTCGATGTACTTATATGCAGATGAATCATCAACCCTTCCAAATAAAGGAACACTGCATTTGAAGTTTTAGAATCATCTCTTTAGTACAGTAATTAGTGGTGTTCTTCTTTAAAGAAACACTGCCAGATTACATTAAACCAAACTAGTAAATGACACATTTCAAATATCCTTTTAAGAATGAAATCAGATGTGATGTATTTGATTCAAAATTTGTAATGCAAATTATGTCATGAAAGCAACATTTAGGTAAACTGCAAGCCACATTTATGCTTCCCATTAATGCTGGGTTAAATTCCTTCACTGCCTCCTGGACAGGTTCTTTTAATTGAAAAGGATTTTTATCTCCTAAGACTTTAATCAAATGGTTGTAGCTTTCATCTAGTCTCCCTGCTGTTTATGCACTCATGGTGGACTAACATCCCATTCAGCCATCCAGTAATGTATTTTAAGAATTATTAAAAGAAGTTACAGGTCAGCCTAAACATGAGTAAGATGTAAGTAAGTTATGTATGTTACATACTGTGGATCCAAGTTAGATCTCCACCGCAGCAAAAAGTGGCTGGGAAAATTGACCTAGAAACAACAACAAAAAACCCCAAAAGAAACATACTATCATTGTCATACTGTACTGGCAACACATGTGGTACATGAAAAGAATTTCATCACTCCCCCCTCTTCTTACCCCTTCCCCCACCCCTGAGAATAAGTTCCCAAATCTAAGATGCACAAATTTGGCCCATAATAAACCCGCCATATTTAGGCTCATGGGCATATATTTGTATTTAAGCCCTCAAATAAGGTATTACTTCTTTCAGTATTATACAGTGAAACCTGTATTAAGCGGACCCCATATTAAGCGGACACCCTCTATTAAATGGACTCCAGCTTGAGTCCCTAAATTTTCTTCCCACATTTACTGTAAAATAAACCTGCATTCAGCGGACACTTGTGTTAAGTAGACACAGACACCAATATTAAGCCATTTTGTCACACAAAACCTGCAATAAGCAGACACTCCAAGGGCTTTTTACTACTAAAAGCCCAGCTCAGACTCCTTTACATTGCTCAGCAATATAGTTTTAAAGCTAAGTAGATTATTCCAGATTGATGCATTGACTGACTGGACATTGTGCTATGAGCAGTCTTCGATCTTACGCAATGTTACAAAAGGGTTAATAATTAACTATTAATGCTGAACCCATTTAGAGCAGACACCCTGTATTAAGCAGACACTAATGAGTGTCCCAAGGGTGTCCACTTAATACAGGTTTCACTGTAGTCACCTGTTTGAGAACACTGTTTGTATTTGATGTCCTTACAGCATGCTAGGAAGCTTGTGGTATTCATGAATTTACCAAGTGACTGTATCATTACAAGCATGTTCTGACAGTTTTATGCTACAGTTTCTTTAATGTAGCTAAAAAAAATTGAGATGAGACACCCTCACCAAATAAAACCCAAGCAAAAGGAAAAGTTCTTTAAGACAATAAGTCCTCACATGAATAAGCCTCCCAAAAAGACCATTTTGCACAAGTATAAGGCCAGGGCTTTTCATCAAAATTTTACAGTATCAGTCACTACTAGTCAGCACATAGGTGATGTACCTCCAACACATTAGTTGAAACCAATGAGAAAAAACATTCTGAATACTCACTGGTTCTAAGTTAACTCCCAGTCTCCTAGCAACTGCCACAAACAAGACTGCTAGAGTAATAGGGTTTCCAGTGCGGCTTCTTATAACCTGAAAATAAGATTCACTGTGATGAAACTGTCAACTAATTTCTTAAATATAATTTTGTAGATAGTACAGCTTAACTCCTAGCCTAAGTAGAGGATAATGAAACTGTTTAAAAAGCCTTTCCGTTTGTAAGTTCTACACAGGATCCCAGGCTGTTAGGATCTTATAGAATCCCAGAATTATACAAGATCTTCTGCAGAAGTATCCCGAACATTCATCAGGATAAAATGCATAATGAGATCTTACTTCTATCTGGGATCTACAAGATCATGCAGGATCTTCAGTACAATTTTAACCAGGGTGTCCAAACACAATTTTTTTGGTGTCACAGTGCACCCAAGTTAGTTTAAGAAAACTGAGAGAACTTTTTATAAGAGAACACATACATTCTATAAATTTACTCATCCATAAGAAATGTGGCAACTGTTCAAGGGTACTTTGTGCAATGCAAATTTATTGTTATATAAGGAAACCAGACTTTTTATAGTCCAATCAAACTTCAGATTCTGAAGATTCAGATTTAGATGACGAAGATACAAGTGAATGTATGAAATATCATATATATAAACAACTGCTTAAGTGGGTATATTACTGTGATGATCAATCATGTCTTCATACCTTTCTCCGCAGTTCACATATATGATCTTTCATATATTCACTTGTATAAAAATGTTATTAGAATTGCATGTTTTATTATCAGGAAGAGTTCAGAGGAAGAATAAGTTATCATAAACATGCATTTTGTTGCCATTCTGGCAAAACTATACCTGATAAAGCATTGAGTTGTCCTTTTTATAGTATTCATTGACATTGCCTTTAAACAGTAGCTGTTGATACAACACATGCTTAAGACAATCCAGGATTCTCAAACATGCTGTAGGGTGTGTAACTGCCCCAAACACCTCATTACTTTGAGCCATTCGTTCTTCCAGTGGGGCTGTGGATATGCTGTTTGTACTGCTGCTATTACCTCGGAGACTCTCTTGCACAGTACAAGCAATTCTATCAAGCTCCACATATGTGTCATTCTCATCAATGTCCTCTTCATTCAGAATCCATCTTGCAATCAACATGGCACCTGTAAAAAGAAGAAGGGTAGTCCTAAAGCTATGCAACCAGCTACTGAAATTTTAAAATGAAATCAACTAGATGTCACTTGTCTTCATTTCACCTTTTTCCAAATGCTGCTGGTCTTCAGGTAATACCAGAAACTTCTTCCATTCATCTTTAAGCTGGTGAATTTTAAGATGAGAATGCATCTTTCTGGCATAATGTCTGTGAGTCAAATTGACTTTGCTAGAAGACAAATAAAATGATTGTCGATCATCACCCCAGTTTTAAAAGGTGTGGTCTAAAAACCAAGAGTGTGAAGCAAATTGCAACACAGTAAAAAGATCTGTCAGCGAGCAAATGCAATGATTTTTGCACAGAGTTCAAGCTCAAAATTTTGTTGGGTTAACAGTGGGTATTAGCAACAGCAAGTATACAAACAACAGAAACAACATTGCACATATTTCTTCATCTTACCAGTGATCTCCTTGTAAAAGTTCACTCAAAGAATCATCCACATAGCAACAAAGATGAGGATTCTCATTTGCTACATGTACAAATTTGTCCAGTTCTGTTTTGGAAACCTCAGCCTTTGTGTAATATTTTTTCGACATAGTTTCCAGAGCATGGTGAATTTTGTGTTCCATCAGCATTCTGTCTCTGTATATTGACAACCAGTCTTCTTTTGGCATGGTTCTCCAAAAACACCACCTGTCAGAAAAATAACAAACAAAATGGATGAATAAATAACTGTCTACAGCTGTACATCCACCCCTCAAAGAGCCAACCACAAGACTACTTGATAAAGTACAACAGGGCTTTAGTTCCCATGACAGTATGTGTGCAGAAACTGCAGTCAAAGCGTACAATTATTTGAACATGCTTACAAGACAGATGTTGCATAACATATGTTTTACTTGGAAAGTGTGCAGAACGTTGTTGTACATTTCTTTGCTAATTACTGGTCTTTTTCTTGCACTATACTACGCCAACTCTTCAGCTCAGCATTATCTGGAAGTCTCCCTGATACAGACTGAATCTCTCAGATACAAAAGAAAGTGCTTGAAGTACAGCCAAACCTCTATTAAGCAGCCACTCTTGGGGACGAGACAACTGGCCGCTAAATAGAGGTGGCCATTTAATAGAGGTTGCCCCCACAATAATGTTGGGAGTGGTCCACTTTTCAATTTATCAAATATAAGTGAAAACAAATGCAAGTGGACAAAAAGTAGAACAATGATGGCAATAATACCGTCCATAATGTTGACATAAGCCAAAGAAACAATTTCATGTACAGACGCGACGTGTGCTGTACAAACAAACTAGAACACTTTGAAACTTTGTTTTGTGATTGTTTTAATTAAATACTGCTGAAAATGTGTTTTTACAGTATTCCACATATTTGTCATTCTTTAACCGTCATCTGGCTAAAAATGTCCAACTTCAAATCTTCTTGGCCATTTAATAGAGGTATAAAACAACACAAAATCACCCTTGGGATGGCATTAAGATAATAAAGGTGGCTGTTGAATAGAGGTTTTTATTACATTGTATAGCTGAAAACTTTTTGGGGACTTTGACCATTGACCACCAAATAAAGGTTGGCCACTTAATAGGGGGCCACTTAATAGACGTTGGACATCTTTCCTGTCCCTTTGTTTGGTCGATTTTTGGCGTTTTCAGGGAAGATTGTTTGGGATGTAATGTCTCATGCATTTTTGTGGTTGAATTGATGGAGGTCTACATTTAACATTCTTTAGGATCATGCAAGTCAAATTTGCGATCTCTCTGATTTCAATTTTTTTAGGATGGCCTCTTTTTCTACGGATTCATATAAATGGACTGGTTGAATGAATTCTGCACAGCTAACAGATCAAGTGTACTGGAGGCATCTGTGGTCGAGTGTCGATTGACACCCTTGATTGATGCTTGATGGACATCACGATCAATACTTGGTTAACAATCAATCAAAATCTTGATCGACACCTGATTAACACTTGATCAACAGTTGGTTGATAGTCAGCCGACTGTTGACCGACTCATATGGATCGATCGACACTCAAAGTGTCTGCAAAAATTAGTCAACTCTAAACTGACTGTCGACCGAGATGTTAATAGAGTGTCGACCAAATGTCAATAGAGGTGTCGATTGAGTGTCAATCGAGTAGCGATGAAGTGTGGATCGAGGATATCAATCGAGGGAACTGATCGACACTCGTCCACAGATGCCATTAGTATACATGATCCCAGCTGACTAAGAAATGATTTTCATCTCTATGTATAAATTAGCGTCTGGAAGATTTGATATGATGACTTACGCAAAACACACTCACTGAATTTTTCACACTGCTCACACTCTAACTTTGATTTTTCAGGTTATCAAAAACCATCACAAATTCCACTTAAAAACTTAAAAGTTTTAAGTGACGTTTAAGCTTACCTCGAAAGCGCCTTCTTTTTCCAAAGTTCATTACCAGCTGCAATTATATTTAATCTTCTACAAACTTGTGAACAGTGGCACAAGTCCTTATGATCAATTATGGAGTAAGATAACACCATGTCAATCAGCTCATCAGCCAACAGAAGCAAACTGCTTTCCGACGCACTCCCAACTCCACCGTTATCGTCCTCCATCTTGGAATAGTCTTCGCTCCCAGACTCCTGGCAGACTTTGGGCGCTTCCAGGAATTTTTCGGAAAATAGAGGCACTCCTTTCTTTCTCGTTTTCACGGGAATGATCGAAAAATCACTGAACCATTTTCCTCTTCACACCAAATATTTTCCTTGATGAAATACGTAGAAGAAGAAGCTGATCAAGGAAGTATACCAATTTCGCCAGGTTTTGTAATATACGTCCATACCACTGGCAAAGAAAACTCAGATATTCTTGATAAGCAGATGGTCAGGTTTAGATATCGACGACATTCCGACGTCGCAAATCGAAAAACAAGGTTATCAGTTTTGGTGCAAAAACGGTGGGAAAATGGTCCACAACGCCTATGATTGATCAAGGTCCATTTCTAGGCTTCGCCCGTAATTAACATTCAACTTTTCACTGCAGCCAGAAAGAACATACTATGCAAAAAGTAGCCAGTGTAAAAGGGCAGAGAAAAACAGAAAGGAAGGGCCAACAAACGAAATTTAGCACGGTTAATGGCAAAAAAAAAAAAAAAAAGTCCAAATTTTGACTTATGCGCATGCCCATTTTTGCTCAATTTTGTACCTAATCCTCGAAAAATCTCTCCTTTTAGTAAAAAAAAAAAGCTTTTTTAGCAAAACTTAGGCTTATTTAGCGTCACGGTAGCTAAAAAACCTGACTAAACGGTTAAAAACGGTATTTTTTGGCGAAAGTTTGGTATTCAAAGGGTTAAAGAAGCGAGATTCGGGAAGTCTGGCGACGAAAATGAACCAAAAAAAAAAAATCAAGCTGTCATCTTAAAGGATGTCGAAAATAGCCGAGCACAACTTATCTCCGACAATTTTTGGACGCAATCCCGTAAACTTGAGGGATGCTCACACAGCTGCCAGATTTCATATGATCGACACAATCGCTGGACCTTTTTTGTAGGGGTTATAGCGATCGTGTCATATGGAAACTAGTCTAAATGCTCTCTTGTTACCACCTCCCACTGACAACTTTTTCAGTGATCAGGCAGGCGTTGCCACACAATAGAGGCAAACAAAAAGAAAAAGAAAGAAAAAGAAACGAGCTATTAAAAAAAAAGGTATTATTTACTGACTGACGGAACTCATTGAAACGATCATGAAAACGAACAATATTGTCATTTTGGTGGAAGGGGATACTGAGAGATAATTGAACCTAACAGTCAGTGCTTGGGTTTGCTATGAGGGAATCTGGAGCTTGAATGAAATTGGATCTTCTCCCTCCATGTAAGGAACGGACTTTTTAAAAGAGAAAATATGACTGGGATCGGGATTAGCCGATAGAAATCGTCGTGAATACGGGATCGAGGGAAAATTCTGGTCGGGATGGAGGGATTGAAGAACTCTAACGGGAACCTTACCAAGAGAAAATGTCCGCTCATTTTCTCTTGACCTCAGGTATCCTTAGAAACTCGGAGGCCGATAAACAAATAATAGCCTCCATTTAGCGAAAAAATATGCTCGAATATTTGTTTTACAATAACTGTCTAATTTCCCGCGCGCTGATTGGCTCATTTTTATCATTAATAAGAGTACAGACGGATAAAATTTTAATTTATGGAAGCTTTCAAGTTAAACTTTCAGCTGTCAAACTGTCAACTTTTTAACCAATGATATTTTATGGACTTTTTTAAGTAGCCAATCAAAAAGCCTGCGGCTCGTGGTTCCACAGCCACTTTGACAATGTTATGACGCAATTTATCATCAATAAGAGGACAGATGCATAGAAAACTGAAGTCAATTTGTTAATTTGCAGACACTATCTGTTCCGAGAAGCAACTAGTTTTCCAAGAGAGAGCATATTTACCGAACATATTTTTTTAAAGTAAAATGGGGGCTATTGTGTTTATTATCCTTCAAATAGTTTTCACAACACGCGGAATTTGAAAATTGGAGAATTTCACTCGCAAATTCCCCAGTTTTAATTTAGCTGGGCATATTAAGTCGCATGACGCGATTAGACCAATCGAGTGGGAGCGAAAATATTTGATGGATTGTTGTGATTTGGGGAAGACTGCTCCGTATGTATTGGTTCCAAAACAAGTCGCTGTGATATGATGTGAGGACAAATCGAAGCGATGATTCACTTCGTGTGACTTCGGGAATTCTTGTGAAAATCCTTGTTCCCGCAACATAACTTTTCCCTGCTACAAGCCGCGCTAATTCAAACCAGTTTGAATTTGTGCGACTCCTCGCGGGGAAATAGTTTGTCACCGATGATCGCGAAGATGATTGTGACTGCGTTAAGATGTTAAGATTAAAACTGAAGACGAAGTGGCTTTCACCAAGACTGAGAGAAATAAATAAATAACGCGCAATTTAAATCTCAATCTCCTCTGAATAGCCACTCACATGCTTGTAGAAACAAAACTATAATGGAGCTATCGATCTGTGCTGGAAAGGTTTCAGCCTGTTTGTGATAATTCACGACACGTCGAACCGAAAGAGGAATATGATTAAACTTTACGACCACTGAAAAAACATAAGTAATCTCCTGCTTGTCAGTCATGTAATTTGCATATATCACGTGAAGAAACAGGTGAGCACTTTTGTTTTATCGAGAAACTCAAGGTGACCGCATTGGGTTGAGGTGGATTTCCTCTGAGGAAAACTGCGAAGGCCCAGCTATCTTGAATAAAAAAGAACACTCTCATCATGTCGAATTCTGTTGAAGTTGGTTTGGCAAAGTCGACTGGAGTGATAGGCATTGCAGCGGGTCTGTGTGGTCTTAGCAATTGTATCTGTGGCTTCATCTGGCTGGGATACAATGGCTACGGCGGACACGGTCTATGGTCTGGATTTGGGGTGAGTTGAATTCAATTTTTTCCCTAAATTCGCTCGATGCTTAGCTTTTTATTACTACACAGTTACTCAGTTTGTTCGTAAAGTATTCAGTTTAGCGCTTGAACTGTATATATATATATATATAAATATATATGTATCAGCAAGCAGTGTTTGTCACTTTTGAAATGAAGAATCTTGTCAGGCGGCGGCAAATAACCAGCTCAACAGGAAGTTCAGCCTGTACTGAGACAGTCTAGCTTACTTGTGATGACTGTAACTATGGTAGTACNCAAGTTCTCCCAGAAAACTGATTTTCCACAATTGACCTTAAATTCTACTGCATATACATACCCTATTTTTGAAATATCTTTCAAGGCCAAAGCTCCTTTAATTCGATGAAAATAAGGAAATACACTACATTCACCGCTCAGTTTACCATTCAGTTAAGAAGACCTTGCTTCATCTGGTGAATGCTGTACAGTTTGTATAAAACTACAAGTAACCAAACATTCCAACCAAAGGTTCGCCGTTACACATACACGTAATTTAAGATGACAGGGGTCATGTGACCTCAAAAGGAGGGGAAACTAAAACAAGGAGCCTAGCCAACAATATCTACCTGTTAAGTAGGGTCACAAACAGAATATTGATTACCTTAAGCGTATATGGTATTCAATTCTACAGGTGAAGATGATCAAAAACAAGTTAGCAGTAGTGATAATGATGATGAGGAGAAGTCAGATGAGGATGAAGAGCCACACTTTGTAGTTGGGGGAAAATAATTTCAAAAATCAACAAACAATAAAGTTCATCAAGTGAATTTGTCGCTGTGGCTGTTTTTGGACTTATCGGGCACTCATCCAAGTACGAAGACTGACAGCTAGCCTGATATTCCAGAGAACTTGGATTCAAGAAGATCGTCACATCTGTTACACTATCCAAGAAGCAGTGGTTACAAATGAAACTTTCTTCAAATTGAAGGAAGCTTTTAAGTAACAATAAAAACCCTAATCAAAGACTGAGGCAGCTTTAAATACTGTAACTGCCTTTAACAGCTAAATGCTAGTACTGATTTTGCGTCAGTTTTTCAAATCCCCGATAGTAATTTTATTTCACGTCAGTAACTCAACACATTATGCAGGTTGTGTGACAGCGTCTGAAGAGCTAAGCTTATCACAGGTTGGGATGTCCATACACCCCGCACACAAGTAAATAAATTTTGAGAAAGCTGCAGGGGTTTTGGACATTTAATAATACAAAGTATAGGTTGGCACCATTAATTTCTCTTGATTACTACATTTTTACTTGACCGCATGATAAAATTAGTCAGTGAGGAAAGATCATGTGTTCATAAGGCAGAAAACTAATGGACTGCAGCACCTCTCATTAACTCTACAGCATATTACCGTGCTAGTCAAACCCAACACAACTATCAAATCATTTTCAAGATTAAGAAGAAGTCTGTATACTGACAGCTAGTATTATTTTATGTTCTTGTCAAAGTCTGTGAAACTTGTCCTTTGTACATCAATACTAACAGTAGTTATGTAAAATGGTGCAATCCAGTACACTGAATGCGTTCTTGCTCAAATGAACAAATGAAAGCATGAATTTGAAAACAGTAAGAATATTATAATAAGTATTCCCACTTGCACAAGTTGAAATGCTGTTGGGTTGAAGTCAGTAATATGATGTTTAAAATGTTCTGTTCTTGTTATGTCATTGTTCTCTAAGGGCCCCACTAATGTGATGGCAAGCCTTTACCACAGTTAAACAATATCTCAAAACCTCATACTAACACTGCGTGGAAGCAGTCTTGCTTTTTCATAATAAAACTGTTTATAGTTGCATATTTTTTACTGTAGCTTGACAAATCCTTGCAACTCTTCCAGAAATTTGACATAGTGTTGCTGTTCCAGGGCTGTGCTGTAGTCAAGAAGCCATTGGCAAAAGCTCTTATCAATTCCCCTTTCAGCTAACATGTTCAACAACATCATGTATAAGTTCTGTTGAACAAGGAAAAACCAGAGAGTTTTACAATTAACTATAACTTACAGTGATGTGCTAAATATTAATTTTGTCAAATCCACTGTCAATTTCTATCAACATTTTAACAAATTATTAAAAATGAACACATGAAACAAATTCACCCAAGTTCACAAGTGAAACTGACTTTTACACAGCACTGATATTAGCTTTTATTAGCTAATATTAGGTATTATGTTCTAATAGAATAGTGACTCAAACAAAACATCAAACTGGCTGTTTTCAGAAATGAGACCGTAAAAAAAATATGAGATCTCTGCCAGGGATGAATAATAATCATGTTCCAATAGATGTGGAGTCAGATGGCACATCCATAAAGAGCACTTATATTACTTGGTTGGGTTGTAAATTTATCTCCTAATTGCAATGGCCAATATTATAGATCAAAGCTCTCATAAAAAAACCTTTCTATACTTACACTATCCAAGTTTTCTGTTTCAGCACAATAAACAGTTTTATCTTTGTCAGAAGAATCCAAAACTGATACATTGATTATGTTGATGATTTCCTCATTTCCTTCATGATCTGAGAATTCTTCACCTAGTTCACTGTTAAACTCACAGTGGAACTTTAACGTTTTCCCCTAAAACAGGAAGTAAAATAAAAACTGAGACAGATGAAGCAGAACATAAGTGCACTTCTTTTTTGGTATTTGTTTTAGAAGGCTCTTTACTGATACAGTAATGGTTCAAATGTCACACTACAGAAGTATTGGTGCTGTTAAAAAAATAATGGTCTTCAGTTAAGAAAATAGAATTCAAAACATCCTTTTAAATTTACAATAAAAACGCATAATAAAAAAAGAGTTTGGAGCATGTCTGGCTCAAAATAGTATGGTTCAAGAGCAGCCATAACCCAGTGTGGTAGTTAAAAAGGCTCTTTAGAAGCCATTTGGACAAAATCTCTCAGATGGAATGACGTTATGGAAATGCGGCCTGGCTACTGAGTACTGTTCAAAATAGTAGCAATGATGTTCGAAGTTTGAGCTTCTTTCGAGACGAATTTCATATTAAGGAATACCTGCGCTTTAGAGTTTGAAACTGCAGTGAGTGGCTAAACTTAGTGCAAGGTTTTTATTAGTGTTGACAAAAAATATATGTTTTTTGGAGTAATAGTCCTAATTTCAGTAGAAGGAATATCACATGACATCCAGCATCATGCATCTATGTATTCATTTCTAAAAGAGGGACACTGAAAATGACTGACACTTAGAAAACAGAAGATAACTATCTCTCAACTTACAGGTTGCTTTGTTATTTCCACAGTGAAATAAGGATATGACACAATCTGATAAACCAAATCACAACTATACTGTTATAATGAAATCTTTACCATAGCATCCCCAAATTTGCAATCAGCCAATTAGAAGCTGTGTTTCCTGACCTGATATTTATAGCTAAATTATGATACCTTTTTGGAATGCTTTGGCAGCATATCAGGCAAGTTTGGTTGAGTCATGGTTCTCATACTCATGGAGAGACCAAGTGAGCCCGATATTATGCCAAAGCATACCAGAAAAGTATATTTACTGTACCCAAATACCACCAAGTGACCATGAAATCATAGCCATATCGGGTCAGTGACTCGATATGGCAGGATTTCAGGACAGAAGATACTGACAGCTTCTGATTGGCTACTTGCAAGTTTGGGTATGGTAACCTGCAATATCAAGACACTGACCTGATAGTCAAATAGAAAAGGTTTTAAAAATAGAATATATAGACAAACAGTCAAGCCTAAAAACGGAGCATCTGATTGCAATAAGTTAACCTGGCTTGAGCCTGCGATCCAATTGAAAACCAATACCTGGGCAGCAGTAAACTTTAAGAAAAATGTGACCTCAATGAGCTCTAACCTTGAGCCCACAATATGGTTACATGAAACTGGTCAGGGGATACCTTGTTTTGACAGGTGTCAATTGACCATAACATGAATGTCCAATGTCAAAGATTTATGGTGTGCACGGTAAATAAGGCTGCATGTCTCAGTCAACCTATTAGCTGGAGTATGGTTGCCATGTTGTGCAACTTCATCATCGGCATGAGAAAAGCAATTCATCGGTTCATACGAGTTATACTGCTCCACGTGGTGGTCCCTCAGGCCGCCAGAGCTCCACTATTAAGTTCGCAGTTTAATACTGAGCAGGTTGAAAGGCGTCAGAACTTTCCTACCAAAACTAAACCCAAATGCCAGACAGATCACTGTAACTAGAAAAGTATCTCCAGAATTTGGGAATGATAAATATCTTACTTTTTGGTATGCTTTGGTAGCATACCAGGCTCATTTGGTCTTGCCATGGGCATTTTGACCTGGCTACATCTTGCCAAAATACAAACCATGGCTCAACCAAATGAGCCTGATATGCTGTGAAGCACACTGAAAAGATATGTGCTTACAGGTCACAGTGGCAGGTGGTGTCATTCGTACAGAGTTAATTCTTATCAATTAACTTGAATCAAAAGTTGAAATTGGCATCACAGCCCTGAATTGGATTGCTTGCATACACTTCAAATTTCAAAACTTAATGGGTTCATTACCACTGATCTTTTAACTCTCGGCATTTGTGCGTCCTTGCAAAGGATAATTTGCAGTCCACTTTGGGGATTATTTTTAGTCTGAAGCTCATACACTTTCAAGGTACTGTTCAGGTTTTATGAAACAAAACATGCCTTTGTAATGTTTATTCCCTGAGAGTGTTCTTAATATGGACAACCAGATGATACAGACACTTTGTTATGTCCCTTTAGTGTCTGTATCAACTGGGTTCCACTGTACAGTTATGTTTTGCTGCTTTAGTTGGTGATTTTTAACTCTTCCAGAAAATTTAACTGTCACCTTTCCCATTATTTCATGATCATCTTCTGCATATTGCTGTTCATCTTCTGCATCCTCATCAAGAGCACTCTCATCTTGGTTTGTATTCTCATTTAGATCAAATGATACTACAATCCTGAAACATATTAGCATTGCAAGAAGTGTCTTAGCTGGTAGTCTACATGTATGTTTGCCTGATTATTACTGTTTGTAAAAACTGATTATCCAGAGTAGGTCCAAGACCATTATTATAATCTGGGGATAGGATTGAAATCCTATCTTCCACCCAGCCCTTTGAGAAATAGAAAACATGTACCGTGTTTTTATCGAGTTTTAGTATAAATCTACTAGTGGTCTATCACGAATGCCATTCTCTGATTGACTACGCTACTCACCATTTATTCTGTGATAGATAGAGAGTAGCGTAGCAGTGTGCCCTTGTTAACAAAATGGCAACCACTCCTTGGTGTTTTCGAAGTGTCTGTGAAGAGGATTTAGATAAAGTTTTGAACGACTATTAGATTTATACTAAAACAATTAGATTATTCCCTCTCGATTTCTATATGTGATAGCTGACTTGGGCTGCACCCTCATCAACTATCACGCAATAGAAATCTCCAGCTCATAATCTAATTGTTAAATAGAAACTAGAGTGGAAGTTTGGAAGAACGAGAAATGCTGTGAGAACACGAGCTGATAGGTGAGTGTTTCCACATCTTTTTTGAGTTCTCCCAAACTTTCATGAGTGTTTCTATGACTCAATAGAAACACAGAGGACATGTTTTCTGTTTCTTTTAGCAAATACTGCGACAATAAAAGGAAAACAACCTGTTTAATTTGATCATCAAAATGTAAATTCTCTGTGCTTGCATCATCATTACATCAACAGCTTGTACTACTTTTACATTTCTTTAGAGTTATAGAAACAGGATTATTAATCAATCAGCATAGTTATCTTCTTTGGGATATTTTCTTAATACAAATTAAACTCATCAACAATAGATGAGCTTGGGGAAGGTGCCTGGAAAGATAGTGGAGCCTCGAGCACAAGAGCCGGGCACATAGGGTAACCCTGACAACCCTGTGAGCGGCAACCACCAGGCACCGTCACACTGCAAAAAACAGTGGAACCATGATACCTACCTCATACTTACCAGAAAGGAAGGGAGGGCAGGGAGCAAAGTCGCCAAGCACAGTCAAAAAGGCAAGAATGCATGTGAGAATGAGCTGACCTCAAAATCTGAGCTGTAAAACCATGCGACCCCCTGCAAACCCCAACTACTGCGCATGTCCACAACAGGGGAGGCCGCTGACCAGCATTGTTTCACGTTTAACTTAGCTTAAATTGCATTTAACCACATTAAAGATAATTTGCAGGTTAACTTGAAAAACACAAGACTCACTAACCTTTCAGCATTGTATTCCCTCTCCAGTTTAACTAGCATCCCATCAACATTGGACTATTTGATAAAGAAATATTTTGCACAATATCTTTAGGTACGGTTTTTATAATGTATTTCTATGTAATTTACTTCTTAATCAGGAGTTGGATGTCAACAATTTTTCACTGGAGGGAGGTTTTCTAAGATTGAAAGGTACCTTTCCATGTAGATCATGTCACTGTGACTTTACAAACCTGTATTAGTTGATGCTGATCCTAAATATTTCACTAAGTCCTTTTTAGTGCAGAGTGCACTATTGGGATGGTTATGGGGGTTGCCTGCCGCTAAGGAACTAAGGCGC